GAGTTAATTGCACTTTTGGTCCTGTGACTATTGGGGTGTTTTTAATTTGAGTACTTGACTTTTAAAAGTATCAATTTAGTCCCGTAACTATGAAATTTTTAACACATTTGGTCCTGCCGGTCAAATCGCTGGCTAATTTTCGCCGGAAAACGTAATTGCATTTGAATTGTTTTTTAATGAGGGTAAAATGGTCTTTCTAAGTTTTTTTTTTTTAAAGAAAAATTCTATTCTCCATTGTCGGAGCTTGCCCCGGTTCTCTAGCTAGAACTTCCACAGCCGCATATAGGCCTTGAACACCTTGCGGAAGTAGTGCCTGGTCTGGGCTCTGGGATGATTGTTAGAAGGTGTCTGGAGGTTGGTTTATTATTGCATTCTGGGATGATTGTTAGAAGAAAGCTCCTGGCCTGGGTTACTTGGAGTTATATGCCGGAAAATTTCCCTCTTCTCCATTGAAATTAACAAGTACCAGACTAAACTTCTTTTCATTTGCTTTTACAAATCATTCTTCAAAGACAATCAAAGCAGACTTCTTAGCCAGAAATTTCTAACTAAATTACACTATACATGCTACAACACTAAAAGTTTAGCAATGAACAACTCCTAATCTGGGTTATTGGTAGAAATTCCTAATCAAGAATTCCTGATTGGCATTAACCATTTCTTTTTCTCTAATTGGAATTTTAGATCAATTCCTTTTCCGATTACCAATTCAAGCTGTCCCTTTTCCTATTCATCTAAAACCATAAACACAAATACACACCATAACTAGCTGGTATTCAAGAGCTTAGACGGAAACAGTAAACTAAATTTACTTGGGAGGTTTGCGACCAAAGGCGGCGTACGATGGTTGATTTTCAGCAAAGGTTTGCGAATATTTTTCCAACATATAATTTTATGGTAAAAAATGTTTAATTTCTTGGGAGTACAGAACAATACAAATAATATAATTAAACACCACCAGACTAGCTAGTTTCTTAACTTTACTGCTTCCTCGATCAACCAAACTTTCCCGCCTCCATCTCAATAATATATATCTGATCGATGGCGGTGATGGTGCAATTTCCTTTCTTTTTTTGGTTGTGGCGGCAAGAAGGAAGAAGAAGAACGAAGAAGAAGGGATGAGAAGGAAGAAGTGCATGAAATGACCAATTTTGCCCCTATGATTAAATAATTAAAAATTGTTTATATTTTTCCGGCAACATTTGGCCGGTGATTTGGTCGGGTGGACTAAATGTGTTAAAAATTGTATAGTCGTGGTACTAAATTGTTAGGTTTAAAAGTCATGTACTCAAATTAACAAGACCACAATAGTCACAGGACCAAAAGTGCAATTAACTCTGATTTATTATTACATTTGTAAGGGATCGTTATGCTGTGCATCCATATACACCATGCATGGTGCATACGGATGCAAAAATGACGTCGTTTTGACGTCTAACTTTCAAAAAAAAAAAAAAAAAAAACATAATTGTATAACTACACATCCATAATTTCATAACTATAAATCCATAATTGCATAACTACACATCCATAACTTCATAACTATACATCCAGAATTGCATAACTACACATCCATAACTTCATAACTATAAATCCAGAATTGCATAACTACACATTCATAACTTCATAACTATAAATCCAGAATTGCATAACTACACATCCATAACTTCATAACTACACATCCAGAATTTCATAACTAAAAATCCAGAATGAATGAACTAAAAAATGAATAACATAATGCTGTTGCTGTGAATCGAAACTGATTTTTTTTTAATTAGAACGCGCGTTTTGATGCAAAACGACGTCGTTTTTGCATCCGTATGCACCATGCACGGTGCATACAGATGCACATCATAATTTGCCATTTGTTAGTATAACTAGTATTTTTTTATGCACGATGGGCAAAAAAATAGGTGCCCAATATTAATACATTATATTAAAATTTTAAATTTATTTAGATTTTAGATATTTAAATTATTCTATTTTATGTAATAATTAACATATAACTCAAATATATAATGTTTATATATTATTATTAATGAAGAAGATAAGAAAATATATGGTGGATGCATGTGCATAGTAACAACAGTGAAAAAGATAACAGAAGTTATAACGGTAAGGGTATGTTTGTCCAAAATATTTTAATGTACAACCTTTATAGCATAATGTATAAAAAACTTAACAGAAAAAATGGACATAAATCAGGGGTATAACTTTCATTCACACTTATTATGTTTTTAGATAAGTATTACATTAATCTTTATCTGACCCGTCTCATAAATGATGATCCATGAGACGGTCTGATCTGACATAAATTTCTACCTTCATCCAAATATTGCACTCTCAAGTTTTGGTTTAATTGGTCAATCACTTCAATTACTCTCCAAGCACTTTGATGGGGGGTATAACTTATAATTAACTAACCCGATAACTCATTATTGTTAGCCTAGCAAAGTACAAGTTACGCCACCTAAATCAACTAGTCGCCCAGCACCAATGGGAGATTGGTTAAGAGCTTTAGGGACTATAGAGTGATGGATGTGATGCATTCTCAAGTTTTGGTTTAATTGGTCAATCACTTCAATTACTCTCCAAACACTTTGATGAGGGTTATAACTTATAATTAACTAACCCGATAACTCATTATTGTTAGCCTAACAAAGTACAAGTTACGCCACCTAAATCAACTAGCCGCCCGGCACCAATGGGAGATTGGTCAAGAGCTTTAGGGACTATAGAGTGATGGATGTGATAGCCAACGTTATACTGTGGACGATGATTTAAAAACGGTGTCGTTTCTTTAAGTAAATAAACAGTTGTCGTTACATCTTAACGGAGTCCATATTTTGTGTGTGTTAATTATAAAATGAAACTATAGTGTATCTAAAATGAAACCATCTCACATATTGTTTTTATATTATCAAACGAAATTGTAATTGAATTGAAATAAAACTGTAGCTGTGTTGAAATAAAAATGTAGCGTATATAAAATGAAACTGAATAACAGTTTCACATATTTGAGTGTATATTGTCTAATGAAGTTGTACGTAGTTATATCGAAATGATATTGTAGTTGTGTTGTAATGAAACTATAATGTATATAAAATGAAACTGAATAACAATTACATTTCAGATGTTTGAGTGTATATTGTCCAATGAAACTATAGTTATATCGAAATGATACTGTAGCTGTACGTGTTGTAATGAAACTATAGTATACATAAAACTTATAATCAAAATATTAGCAATACAACTTGTATCTATTTACTTACGTACAAATACTTCTCGGTTACATTCTTACCATCATTAGTGCTTTCATTGAGAGGTAAATATTAACTCTCAAGCAAACTATCACATACGTCCTTCTTCCTCATCATCAATCTTTGAACAATGGTACGATCTGGATCAGGCAACTCCCATGATTCCCGCAACATGAACCCCAATAACAACGCTAGTGGACACGTCCGATTGACAAACTCACGTAATCTTCACGACCAATTGAATAATAGTTGTGTCAGAGGGCAACAAGGCCCCTAAATAATATTATCTAAATTTAACAACTAATTTTATTAAACATTTCTTTACAAACTGTTAATACTACCAGCTTATCAAACCACCTAAGAGCATCCCCAATGGGGGATTGTTCGTGGTATTTGAGAAAAAAATACCACATTGGATGAAAGAGAAACAAGAGAGAGAGAGAGTGGAAGAGTTGGTTAGGGCATTCCAAAAAGGAGATTTTTGAATAGTAAAAAACGTGGTGCTTGGCTTTTCACAAATGTGAAGGTGAGTTTTTTTTTAGGGGTTCTTACTCCTGCAAATAAGGGTTCTTACTGGTCCCACTTGCAGAGATAAAAAAAAAAAGCAAAAGAAGTTGCAGGCACGTGAAAGGGTTGTTTTTATTTTATTTTATTTTTTAATTTTTCATGTCAGGTTTTTTTTTTTTTTTTTTGTTTTTTTTTTCTTCCATTTTTCTCTTTCATCTACACTCTCTCTCTCCTACATGGCTATGACAAAATCCAACAAAAATACCTCACTATTGAGGTTGCTTTAGCATCATTATCAGTTGGGAATATTAAGGGGATATTGTAAGAGTGATTAGGAAAGAGAAGATGAGAGGGGAGAGAAAAAAAGAAAGAAAAAAAAGGAACAAAACTGATTTTTTTTTAAAAAAAATAATAACAAAAAATGAAGCGTCAAGCGCGCCTGACGTGTCACACGGCGCGTGCAGTGCACGCTCCCTTGTGGTCATTGACTGTGTGTGAACGCGCACAACATGTGTTGTTGTTTTTTTTTTTTTTTTTTTTTTTTTTGTTTTGTTTTTTTTTTCCTGACATTATTTTGATCTTTGCTGGATAATTCTTTTCTAAAATAACCCCACCCCACATTTGCTATTAACCCACACAAGTTAACTGACCTGACATTAACTCCCATTTCACCTCTATGTGGATGCTCTTATGTATTTTAGAGATTTTGTCAATCGGTGGAGCCCAGCTGTTGAAACAAAGAATTGCATCATAAGCTGCGTGAAGCCTAACCTGCACCCAGCCAGTTGGGCACGTTAATACCTTACTTCTCTATTTGGATTTTTTTTTTTAAATTAACTTTTGTTTTGTTTTTTTTTTCTCCATTTGTATTTTCTCTCTTTTCTATTTCCTAATCACACCTACAAAAATTCCTTAAAAATCACACCAAAATCTCCACCAATAATGATTAAACAATACCACTATAACCTAGGAATGACACTTTATTGATTCATTGGTACAAATCTTATATCATTTGATGCAAAATTAAATAAAAAACTAACGCCCTAAATATTAGAAATTAAACATATGGTATAGAATTTGGTATAATAAAAAAAAATAAAATTTTATGAGTTGTTGTTGTTGTTTTTTTTTTTTTTTTTTTTTTCTCAAAAAATAATTCAAATTTGAAAGATTTGAATTTTGAGTGCATCTTTCCGTCAATCACGTACCTCTCTCAGTCTTCACTACATGTGACGAAACCCCAGTGTTACCTCGGCGCAAGTTAGCACCTGCATATTTTTCTTACACGCGTCGAATCTTATAATACGCCTCCGATCAGCCCACCTCTCTTGCCTTTCGCAGACGACCAGTCCGTCAGAAGAGTACGACGTCGTACCTGCCTGCCTTGACGTATACTCTCGCCTTCTTCATTCGTTTCGCCGATCCGGTACTTCGATCTCTCATTTCCACCTAAAAATTCAAGGTTTATCTGCTGGCGAATCACCATTTTTTCCGAGAGAATCATCTTGAGAAAATTCTGATTACAGAGATTTATCAAGTTGCCTTCTATTCTGTCTACTGTTTTCGATGCAATTCTATTGATTTAGTGTGTTGAGGGGTTTCTCAGTGTTGGAAACCTGCTAGGGTTTCATTTTTCATTTTTATTTTGCTGAAATTGTTACTTTACTTGTATGTGAATGTGCATTCCGGAGGGAGGAAGTTGTGAATGAGAGGAAACTAGTATTAGGTTTAGGGTTTTGTGAAGAGGATGGTGGTGTGACAATGGCGAGGCTATTGGGTTTGACGCGAGGAGAGACAGCTGAGCCTCGGGAGATTACTCGGACGATTCCTACTAGTGAGAGCATCGGGGAGAGCGGGTGGCTCATCCGCTTCTTTGATTCCGCGTTCTTCTGTGAGTGGATCGCTGTGAGCTACCTCTACAAGCATGACCATGCCGGTGTTCGGGATTATCTCTGCAACAGGATGTATACGCTGCCAATCTCAGGCATTGAGAGCTACATGTTCCAGATTTGCTACATGATGGTGCATAAGCCCAGCCCCTCACTGGACAAGTTTGTGATCGACATGTGCACCAAGTCGCTTAAGATTGCGCTGAAAGTGCACTGGTTCTTGATGGCGGAGTTGGAGGACATAGATGATAATGAGGGGATCAGTAGGATTCAGGAGAAGTGCCAGATTGCTGCTACTTTGATGGGGGAGTGGGCACCCTTGATAAAGCCTCAAAATTCCACATCAAGCCCCGTGGGGAAGAACCAGATGCTTAATAGATTACTGTCTTCCAAGCAGAGGCTGTTATCATTGACTTCTTCTCCGCCAGCGTTACAGCGATCGATGACATTTTCACCCAATTCAGTAAGCCTTTCACAGCAGGATGACAATGGTGGAAGTAAAATATCAACTCCAGAGGAGAACAAGATATTCAAGAAGCTGATCCCAGGTCCGAAAGTACGAGATGCATTGCTCTTTAGGAAATCAGCAGAAAAGGAAGATGACAGCGCGGATAAGGATAGTTTTTTCAAGAGGCTTTTGAGGGATAGTAGGGATGAGGACAGTAGGAAAGCATCAGTAGATAGAGATGATGAGGAATCTGAGAAGGACAGTTTTTTTAAGAGGCTACTAAGAGATAGTCGGGATGAGGATGGTAAGAAATTGACAGGCAAAGATGAAGATGATTCAGAGAAGGATGGTTTTTTTAAGAGACTTTTGAGTAGCAGTAGAGATGAAGATGCTAGAAAATCTGTGGAGAAGGATGAAGAGGAGTCTGAAAAGGATGGCTTCTTTCGGAGGCTTTTGAGTAGTAGTAAGGATGATGAGGAGGAGGTTACCACAAGCTCTGATGGATTCTTTAAACGTATATTTCGTGATAGCAAAAATGATGTGGATGACAAAGGAAGTGCAAAATCTGTTGAAGATGATGAAAATGAAGGGTTTTTCCGGAAAATTTTTAAGGAGAGATCTGAGGACAAGAAGGATGGAAGTGAGAAAAATGAATATGTGGAAAAAGCAAAGAAGGTTTCTGAAGATGATGATAAAGATGGTTTCTTCAAAAAGTTCTTTAAGGAGAAATTTGAGGACAAGAAAGAGGGGACTGACAAGATTTATGAGGATGGAAGGGACGACCATGTGAATGGTGAGGATGAAGAGCCTTCTGATTTTTCATTGTTCCGACGTTTGTTTCGCGTGCATCCTGAGGATTCCAAACTTTCAACAGCTAATGAAAACAATATCAGTGGAAATTTGCATGAGAGCAGTCCTGGAACTGAGAATTTTTTTCGTAAGCTGTTTAAAGATCGTGACCGATCAGTAGAAGACTCGGAGCTTTTTGGATCAAAAAGGAACAAAGAGGTAGGTAAAATTTTCTATCTTGAAAAATTCCATATACAGTTTCTACTGTTCCTTTGTGTTCATAGATGAAATACTTTGTTCAAAGAATAAGAAATAACAAAATAAAAATAATTAAAATCAGGGTGGGATACATGTCCTTTTGTTGTGCATTGTTAAAGGTTTTAGCCTATCTTCCTTTCGTATGCTTTATCTAAGGTGGGGATGATTGAGAAAGGAAATGAAATTTTAAAATCAAGAGAAACAGTATGTAAGATGGGTTTGTTCTCATTAATCACTTGCATTGGTATTGTTCATCTATGGTGTGTATTTTTATTATTATTACCTTGATAGTTAGATCTTTGATTAGCAACAGTAAAGTTGTTTGATGAAGAATGTGTCAGTTAGTTCTATACTTCAGGAAGGACATTTTTGTAAATCTTCTATTTCCTATTATATGTTTACACATGAGCTATTGGTCGATAAATAGTAAAATGGTAACTTATCATATCATTGTGACTCCTTTTCCATTTGGCAGAAACGTCCTGGCTCACCAAAGCAGCATGATAAGCCAACTTCTAAACCTCCACTTCCAAATAATGGTGTGTCACAAATCAGGAAAGGGGCGTACCATGAATCCCTTGAATTTGTGCAATCATTATGTGATACTTCTTATGGCTTGGTAGATGTTTTTCCCATTGAAGATCGTAAAAGTGCTCTACGTGAGGTAGTTCCACCTGCTTTGTTGAAATTTCCTTTAGTATGTATTTTCATGAACAGTATCACTTACCAAACTTGTTGCCTTTGTAATTCTAGTCACTTGGCGAGATCAATGCACATGTAGCTACTGCTCAAAATAGTGGAGGTATTAATTCTTCTGATTGGTCTAAAATCTTTGATTTATTTATCAAATAGCTCCAAAGTATTTGTCTTTCTTATTCAGGATATACTGCTGCTTTAATTATGTTATCTCTTAGTTTCTTCAACTTCTATATTTTGTTATAAATTTGAATGGGGGAAAATGGATCAAAATTTAAGTGGACTATTTTCCTTGACTTGTATTCTTTTTACTTTTTGCCCCCTTCACTGTAGGGTTTTTATTTGCTCCGTATTTATTATTTATTTTATTTATGATGAATGGTTTGGACATTTGGTGTGTGGTAAACTGGTAATCATGACCTTACCCATTGACTGTTACGGGGTTCAGGATGTAACACAGCCTATCTGAACACTGAAAACAATGTTGTGTATCAAAGATGCTGCATAATTTGGGTGCCTTGTGCAAGGGTCTGTTCTTTAGATTATTATTATTATTATTATCATCATCATCATCGTCGTCATCATGTTGAAATTGAACTTACCTAGTTATATTCTGTGGTACCTGAGAAGTCATCTGGAATTTGCTTGTTACTGATTTTTTCTCATTGTTTTAAGGTTTCCTTGTTTTCTACTGTCATTTATATACTTGCAATAGCATCTTGGACTTATCACTTACCATTTGCAACTTTCTGTTTTATTCTCTCATTCTAGTTTTCTTTGATTATGTCGCAGGCGTGTGTTTCCCAATGGGAAAGGGAATGTATCGTGTTGTTCATATACCTGAAGATGAAGCTGTTCTCCTGAATTCTAGGGAAAAAGCTCCTTATTTGATCTGTGTTGAAGTATTAAAGTGTGAAACACCTAGGTAAGCAGTTGAAATACCATTAACCATTTGAAGGAAGCATGGACATTGATATTTAATTATGTTAATAGGTTCCATTTGTGTGCATTCCAATTTTGACCTATATTTTCTTTATTTTTGTTGTGTAACAAGCAGTTTGAAAGATGCTCCAAACATGCAAAAGCTTTCAAAGGGAGGGATTCCCCTGGCAAATGGAGATGTTTTCTTACAAAAGCCACCTCCTTGGGCTTGTCCTGTGTGGAATGGACAGGATATGTACCACAGTGGTTATGATAGGATGTCAAGATCTACTTCCCAAGCAATTGACCAAGCGATGACTCAGTTTTGGGATGCTAAAGTAAAATTTGTTCGTGTTAATCTTTCTTTGGAGATGCAATCAGACTGTATGACTGATTTTTATAAGCAAAACAAAGAGATTGGACCACATGCATCAAAGTCAATGGATGACTGTGGTTTGGAATGGGTGAGGGTCACTTTGACATCAGAGCCTGGAGTTAGTATGGATGATATAGTGGATCAGGAACCACCGCGTCGGAAGGAGCATCGCCGTGTTCCAAGTACTGTAGCTATTGAGGAAGTTAAGGTAACCTTCTGATCTGCTTTTCTTGCATTTGTCTGGACTTCCCCCCTCCCTCTCTAATATATATATATATATATATATATATATATAACAAAAAATCAGTCATGTATTTACATGTGCTTTATTCTATTCAATGTTGACAATGAAGCCCTTCCTTAAACTAATTTGTTAGGTCTCATTATAGAACTGTCAACTGTGTTTGGTGAATTGGTGTGCATTTGGCACTGCAGAAGTATTTGGCTTCTTTTAACTAGAATTTACATTTGTATATATAAATTCAAAATGCGTATTTGAATTGTGCTTTAAACAAAGTCATAAGTGCCTTTTCACATCTTCATTGGTTTTCATAACTTGATTTCTCTTGGAGTTTTTACCATCCTGCTAGTTGTAACTTGTGAATAGTTGAACCTTTATGTAATGATTGTTGTAAACCTGTAATACTCAAGTAAGATTATAGTCGCCGGATTTTTGCCGGAACTGAAATGATCTGTAATAGCAGGTCATTTACCGGTTCTTGGACTTCATTGCCTCAATTTAACAGGTTAAAGGGTGTAATTGTACTTTTTAAAAGTTTAGGGACCTAATTGACTTTTTAGATAAAGTTTAGGGGCTTATTTGACCCTTTTCCCAATCTCTCTCTTTTTTTTTTTTTTATTTTTTTTTATTTTTTTTTTTAAATACTTTAGATATTTCTCTCTGAAGGATATGTAGCCTTTTAGTGCTCACAAATTTCAACATATGTAACTTGCTTCCATGTGATGAACTTTAAGAATATTTCCTATTACAGGCAGCTGCATTAAAAGGAGAAACACCTCCTGGACTCCCTCTGAAAGGAGCTGGTCAGGATTCTGATGCACAGCCAAAGGTAAAGACTTGCTGAGTATTTGTCTTTTGTAAAGGTGAATAGAATAGATTCAAGTTTTGTATGTAATGAGCTGATCTAAAAACAGGTTCCTAATGGTGGTCTTCCCAATTCGTGTGATGCACTATCTGGTGAACTTTGGGAGGTAAAGAAGGAGAGAATACGCAAAGCCTCTGTATATGGGACACTACCTGGCTGGGACTTGCGATCTGTAAGTTTAAAATGTTATAAGCTCATATGTTTTGAAAGTATTAATTTACTAAAAACAGGGGTTCTGCCTTTCTCTTGGAGTCAATATAGCTTCATACCATCACCTCTTCTCCACCCTCTGCCAAAAGGTTTTTAAAAAAATGGTGGAAGAATAAAATTGCTAAGAAAGTCCAACCTTACAATTGTTGCTCACTTGCTCTAATTATTTTCAAACCTATTGACAAAATGATGTACCATAAAGTAGTCTGTTTGCTTTATTACTTTCATTGGTTAAAGATTCTGTTTTGGATGGAGGAAACAATTAGGCTTTATGTTGACTCAATAGGTTAGTAAAAACTGTATACTGCAATACTGCATGCTTGGAAACTTATAGAGCAACACAACTAGTAATGTGGTGGCAAAATGTATTGTTTTTACAATATGGCCTAGATTTGACCGTCGACTATTTTTCTTTAAGTTTTGGCGTCTTGGTTTTTCGGCCTTGCCTCGTCTTTAATATGATAATTGTTAATGTGGTGCTGTCTAATACTCTAATCGATGGGCAGTGTAACATATTTACCTGAACCACTAAGTGTTTCATGCATCAGATATAGAACCTTAGACATCTACTTTGTTTTTTCTTAGTTTTTGGCACCTCTTGGGCTAGGTTTTAAGGCTTTGCAGCACTTTGATACAATTATGGTTAATGCAGTGCTGTGTTATTTATGGGTAGCCTGGCTTCCTATGTATTTACCTGAATTGCATAGTGGCACCAGATATAGAACCTTAGAGTCTTTCTAGCCTTCTAGGTGCCAGGTCTCGAACTTTGTTATGCATCTGATTTAGTGCTTCAGAGGATGTGGTCATAATTGTGGTAGTGAGGGAATAGTGGGATACAATGATTTTTCTATCTAAGAGCCATAAGCTTCCAAGAGACATTAATAGGGAATTGAAGTCTTACAGAAAACGAAGTTCTCTAAGTTGGGGAAGTACTAGATACACTTTGTAGAAGATGGTTCAGACACTTTGTTACAAGCAATAGTACCTCTGGCAGGATTCTTTGGGGGACAATAGATGGAGGATGGTGGTACCAATTCTGATACGAGATACAGGAGAGCTAGAAGTTTACATTTAATCAGCAATACCTGGTATTAGAAAGAATTTATTGTTATCATTCTTGGCAATGTTGCAAAAAACGTTAGGCGCCCCCTAGGCGCCGATTTTTTATTTTTATTTTATTTTTATTTTTTTAATATAAAAAAATTTTTAAAATTAAAAATTTTCAAAATTTAGTACTAAAACATAAGGTTTTCATAGTTATTTCTTAGAAACTATTTACAAAAGTGGTTGTAAAGTTGTTCAAAAGATTGTTTAAACCGTCTAAATACATAAAAAACTAAAATTAAGAGCTAAAGAAGCATTTTTTGAGAAATTAGTGGACAACCGAGTCAAAAGTTATGCCTTCCGAAACTTTTCCGACATTTTCAAAAAAAATAAAAAAATAAAAAAATAAAATCGCAGAACCGCCGAACCGGCCGGCCGCGGAGGAGGCCGCCGAGGCCATTCCTCGCGGCGGCCTCCTAGCGCCTAGGCGCGATTTTTGCAACACTGATTCTTGGTTTATTATTAGTAATAATAGTTCATAGTTTGTTATAGAAATCTTGTGCTCCCTGATTTCTGAAGGAAATTCATGAGAACATCAGACATCCAGAACCCACTTGTCCATTGTTAAGGAGATGACACATAGTTCTAATGATAGGTCTTCTGGATTTATGGTGGTGACTACTTAAGCTTTGTGCGATTTTGACAACTTTCATTGTTTTCCTTGGATTTTTTTTTTTTTATTTTTTCTTTTTGGGGTGGTGGGTAGGTAGCCATTCTCTCCTTTTCTTCTGAAGAGGTTTGGTCTTATGCCCCTGTTCATACTTTTTCAGGGAATTCCTGGTATATGTTGCCTCTTTAATTTTTCTTTACTCCTAAAGGAATTGCTTGATTGCATCACTTTATTTACTCATTTCCTTAGTTTTTCTAGTTATTAAATCAGTATGCCCTATCTATTGCATCTAGCAGGTAACATTTTTTTTCCCATTTTTTCTTTGACATAGGTCATTGTAAAGAGCGGTGATGACTGTAGACAGGAGCATCTTGCTGTTCAACTTATTTCCCACTTTTATGGTAGGCATCTGAATGAGCTCGTTGCATTTTTCTTTTAGTGATCTTTACTTTTCGTTAGGTTTTCATTATCACCTACCTTTGTTATTTATTGGATTGTCTGGTGAATTTATGTATCTATTAACTGTTGAATATAGGCTCTCTTCCTTAGTATATTTGGAACACATTATGGGATCAAAACAGCCTTTATATTATTTGTCCAGGTTGTTATTAAATTGTTAAAAGTATTAGTTTAATTAGTCAAAGCCTTCTTATTTAGTACTTCAAGAGGAGGCTTAAGAATTTTTCTTCTGCCATATTTTCCTTTATCTGTTCGTTTATTTCACATTTTACTTTAATTTGTTACCTAGTATTAAAAGGTTGATCTGGTACGAATTCACATTTTTATCTTCCATTCATACTTCATTAGAAGACTGTTGATCATTGTTTTACATATTTTTAAAAATTACAAATGTCAGATATATTCCAGGAAGCTGGTCTTCCTCTTTGGTTGCGGCCATATGAAGTCCTTGTTACATCATCTTACACAGCACTAATTGAAACTATACCAGATACGGTAATTAGTATTATTATGACTATTATTATTATTAATACACTTAAAATGCTTTTATTATCTGTTCTGTATATTACTCGTTGATGTCATTTTAACTGTTTTCCAGGCCTCAATTCATTCTATAAAAAATAGGTTTTCTAATGTAACAAGTCTACGAGATTTTTTTGTTGCCAAGTATCAAGAAAATTCTCCAACTTTTAAGCTTGCCCAGGTAATGGCTCTTAAGTTGCAATTGATAACTGCTTTTAACATTTGCTTATGCTTGACTTAGATTCTTTATCAATGTACATGTTTATGCACTCCTATAACGACATTGGTCTAACAGTGTGGTAAAATTTGCTTTCCCCTAAACAGGAATGTAATATTCTCACCAAATATGTTTTAAATGTTACTTGAATGAGAATAGAAGTAATTAATACTTAATCAAAGAGTACAACATCAGCATTACTGTGATAGAACTCTTGTTAATTCCAGATTTGCTTCTGCTGGAACATATTTATAATATGAGAAACTACCACTTCCTTTGTAGGTTCGCACACACCCACACATTGATATATTGCTAAAACCAATTCACCAAAAAGAAATATTTCTAAAACCAAAAGAAATAGAGGTCACCCACCAACAGCACATTGCCTTTTATTCTATTATTTCAATGTGATTTAATATATATATATATATATATATATATATATATATATATATATATATATTTATATATATATATATATATATATACACGCCCATACTAAATTCATTTCTCCTTGTTTTGGAAAGAAGTCAGAGTATTCTGTGTAAACACTTTTCTTTTGTATCTAAACTATTGTTATGTATATTATTTTGAGTGAATATTATTCAACATCAACTTTAAATCTTGCTCTTTGATCAAGACCAACCTCAATAGTCAAATATAGAATTTTATTATCATGGGGTACCGGGCAACATAGAAGATGCCACCCATAACAAGTACAAGAAGCTGAGAGAATCAGCATTGAAGTTTAGATGCTAGTTTCTGTTGCTCTTTAAGTACATGGGACAACTGGATTGATAAGAAAATTACTAACCTCCTTCAAATTATCACCTTTAAAGATTGCCTTCTTTTTTCAAATCTCCATGGGACTTCATTAAACTTGCATTATTGCATTCCACTTACCAGTCTTGTAAAATAATTTTGAGACTCCACTAGCTATGAGTTCTTGATATTAAAGGATCTTGGAAATGGTTTGGTTTCAAAAATAACAATTGGCTCATATTAAAGAAGGAATAAAGGAAAGCTGAGTGTGTCAAGATCCAAAAATATAAGAGTTTACATCTTAGAAACAATAATAGACTAGGAATAGGTCTATTGACCATTTTGCAAGATTGTGAAATGGTTTAGGGGGCATTTGGTTTAAACATTGGAATCGGAATCGTAATTGGAATCAAATACTTGGTAAATGTAATGGGTTTAAGTAGAAGAAGTCTCTTTGTTTGGTAGAAAATAGGAATTGGAATCAAAATAAATAAATAAATAATTAATTAATAAAATTAAATATAAAAACATATAATACACACATACACATACATATATCATATATGTGTATATATATTAAAGTTCCATATTGAATGCATGTACAATGACCTTTTTATTTTTTTCTTTTTTCTTCTTCATTTTTGATTCCATTGTTCAAAAGTAGGGGGAGAGAAGGGTAATGAGTTTTACGGTAATGGGTATCAAATCTGATAGTGGGATACAAAAGTTCCCAACCAAAACGGCACCTTAGTTATTATTTTAAGGTGGTTTGAGTGAAAACTTTATGCTTTACAAAATTTTGTACTTTATGGTAGTTACTTTATTTCTCCATGCCAGAAGGCAGAGAATTTTATTGTTCTTTTAGTAACTTCTGTAACGAAAGAAGGCAGGGACACTGGATTCCTAATTCTAAATTGAACCTTTCCATTTCTGCATTGCAATTTCTTATGCAGAGAAACTTTGTTGAAAGCATGGCAGGATATTCTCTGGTTTGCTACCTTCTGCAGGTAAAATCACATCACTCTTTCTCTCTCAAGTATATGTAACTGAATCAGTTCTTTCTTCAATTTGATGTATTAAGTGAATAAATATATCTTGTTCAAGTACTGGCTATATCTCTAGGCTGCTTTTATCAATTTGATTTGATGTGGATGGAGAGCTTGTTTGCAAAATTATTTGTGTTTGAATACGCCATGAGTTAAATAGGTGTTGCATTATTCTTTACTGATCTTGTTATTTCCTCTAGATAAAAGATAGGCATAATGGGAATCTCCTGTTGGATGAAGAAGGTCATATCATACACATTGATTTTGGTTTTATGCTGTCCAATTCACCTGGGGGTGTAAATTTTGAGAGTGCTCCATTTAAGCTAACTCGTGAACTTCTAGAGGTTTGGCATTATTTTGTAGATTTGGAGTTTTTGTATGATGTTGTGACATACTATCCCCAATACCTCATGAATTATTTCATGAATATCTATGGTGGTGCGCCAGGTCATGGATTCTGATGCTGAGGGAGTTCCAAGCGAGTTCTTTGACTATTTCAAGGTAATTTTTTTTCTTCAAATTTTGTTCTATGATATGAAACTTAATAATTTCCCTGTCAGTTAACTAAATTCGTCGTTCTGTGTATTTTTTGACATGTGTCTTCAGGTTCTATGTATCCAAGGTTTCTTGACATGTCGTAAGCATGCTGAACGTATCATTCTTCTTGTTGAGATGTTGCAGGTAATACTAAGAGATTCGTTTTACACATTCTGTTATAAATTTTTTGGAATGTGATATCATTTTATAATGCAAGTCTTTGGAGCCCATGTACAGAAAAAGTTTTTATTCACTTTCTGATGGATGTATCAAGACAAAGGCTTTCATTTAATAGGTTAGGGGAATTTGTTAAGTACCTCATATCAGGACTAATGTTTTCATTTGATGAATTGATCTTTATTAGGGAAATTTGATAGAGAAGGGTATTGGCAACCTGGGCTAAACATATTTCAGATCAAATGATAGAGGAGGGTATAATTGGCAGTTTGCATTTTTTTGGTTTACACATAAAGGGGTGTGGGGGGAAGGAATGCATTCTGGGGGACCAATATAGTTTGTGTGATTAAGTGCTCTTATCTCCCTGTTGGCAAGGACTTTCTTGTCGGTTGAAATTGTGAGTGGCATGATATTTGGTCATTTCATCATTTACCATAATAACGTGAATGTAACTGAATTTGACTTCACCTTAGTCCAACACAAATCAAACATAAGTAATACTTGCATAATCTACTCTTAACTATAAATTATGCATGGGGGAAAGGTTAATATTATGTATAGATACATCTTTGAGCTACACTCAATCAAGCCTTAGCTCTCATGTGTTGCTGAACCTCGACAAGATGAGTTATTCGTTGTTTTTCTGATGTTACTACTCCGCTGGTTTTATTTTAGGATTCTGGTTTCCCTTGTTTCAAGGGTGGTCCAAGAACAATACAGAACTTGAGGAAAAGATTTCATCTTAGTTTAACAGAAGAGGTTAGGTTTGATTCCTACATATCATGCATTTATTGATCATCCCTTGTCCATTCTGCTCACAATAGATTATTATATTGGTGTCTCCAGCAATGTGTGTCCTTGGTGCTTTCTTTGATTAGTAGTAGCTTGGATGCATGGAGGACTCGACAGTACGATTATTACCAGAGAGTGTTAAATGGGATATTATGAGGTCAAAGTTGAGAGAATAGGTGCGTTTTGGTTTTGCTGATTGTGAAACCCAGAAAGAGGCTATCAGCTTGTTTCCTCCTCCTCCATGTTGGGGATTTGCAGTAGGGAAAGAATTCCAAATGCTGTGATTCTCAGTGATTTGGTTGGAGGAGTTTAGAAGGATTGCTGATGAGCTTTTGGAATTTTGTAATTGTATTGGTAAAAATCACGCATGGAGCAGCATAGCCATAGCCATGTAGGGGAAGCACTCCACATCGGGAACTTCATTTTGTTTTCTGCATTGCTCCGTTTCCCATCATTGTGCAGAAGGATGAGAGAGAAATTCCGAAGGAAGGATCTTTACTTCCAATTTAAGGATTCAATTCATTGCACCCAGATTTGGGGTGATACTGTACAGAGTGAACTGAAATGGAGACAAGACAGCTGTCGGGACCTTCCTGATTGAGTTACGAATTTGCTATAGTTTTCTGGTATGGTGAAGACCTAAGTTTGTACATTTTCGTATCCTCGAGTTTTGGGGGTTTTTTTTTTTTTTTTTTTTTTTTTTTTTTTTTTTTCTCGTGTTAAAAGCAGCAGCATAGGAATACAGCTTGTAATCTTGGTTTTCAATTCCTGTGGGTCCTCAAGCGGAGTTCTCTTTGATGTGCTTCTAACAAGCGCTTGAAATAACAGACTTGTATTGTGTATAATATTCTTTTTTTGGGCTACATTTTCGTGTTTTTCGATGAATACCACTTTGTGTAGTTTAAATTCAAAGTTGCCCACTTCCATATTGTGCGAAATGATGTTAGGTTGGAGTTGGCACATGAATCTTGTTAACGAGTGTGAACTCGGTCTTACTACTTTATATCGTTTTTCGTCTGCCTGTATACGAAATAAGTATAGTAAAATTTACGTGGTGACAGATTTTGGTTCATTGACTTCAATGGTTCGAAATTGTGAATTATATAATTTTGTTGTTGTATTGATTAGAGTTAATTTCACGTCCCTTGTCGTCTTTGGTGGCGATTTCAAATTTAGTCGCAGACTATCGTTTTTGTCGTTCAACATTCCAGATTTTTATTTTTGGACACTTTTGATCTTTTCGATGAATTTTTCGGTGAGACCCTATTTTTAGTAAGGGTATTTTTGTCTCTTCATATTTTTTTTTTGCCGGTTGAATGTTCCACGTCGAATGTTGTCAGCTATGACACAAATCATCATCATCATCATCGTACGCCAGAGATCAACAACTCTCCGGCTTCTGGTCACATCTCTGGCCAAACTTGAACATGATAGCACCCGAACCTATGAGTCAAGAGGGTTCCCTTTCCGCTACTAGTAGCATAGAGTACTTGACTCAGACCCTTCCCGAATGGCACGTCGAGGATTTTCTTGACCCTTTGTCTTCTCTGTCTGGTTTCTGTACGTAAAAGCCTTTTCAATAGTATGTGCAATTCTGCAATTAAATACAGAGTGGGTATAAAATTGGGAAGATCAATTCAATTCTGCAAAACTAGACAATTAGTTCTGTCATGCCAAGACCCAGAATATTGAAGAAAGTTTAACCATTTTTTTTTTTTAGATTGAACCGGTGAAAAAGGCTAAAAAAACATGAAGAGACAAAAATACCCTCGTTAAAAATAGGGTCTCACCAGAAAAATCATTAGAAGGACCAAAAGTGTAAAAAAAAAAAATGAAAGTCTGTGATGTTAAATGACAAAAACGATAGTCTCTGACTAAATTTAGAATCGCCACCAAAGACAAGGGACCTACAGTGGAATTAACTCTATTGATTAACATGCAAAACTTTAAAATGGTCTTTGTTGGTGAGGAATAAAATAGTGTGTTCGGTTCATACATGGAAATCAGAATTGGAATGGGAATCAAATATTTGGTAATGGAACGAGTTTCTGTGAAAGTATTTTGTATGTGTTGGTAGTAGGGTGAAATTGGAATTATTACCAATGTTTGGTTATGTATGATCTTATAATGGGAATAAAGGTTTTAAGCATACAAAAACCAAAGCAATTGATCATAATATAATGACATCCAAACGATTAATATGAACAAATTACATGTGTTTAGATGTATATGTGTGAGTATGGGGTATAATACGATTTTCTATTCAACTTATAATAAATGATAAACGGAAATTTGTAATCAAGAGGAGGGGACACCCGAAAAGAAGATCCCTCATATGCGAAGCAAATATATTATGGAGTATTATTTTTTAGAGCAATTCTAATGATGTTGATGTTTTTTTTTTTATTTTTTCTCCAAATAGAATTTAAAATAAAACTAAATAAGAATAAGAGTGGTCACTTTGAAGTGCTGAGCAAGCGTGTGCTTTTCATAATTCGTTGGGCACTTCATTTTAACAGAAAAATATCTTTTATTCCCTCTCCTCAAACACGTGCATGTTCTATTTCTAAATTAATGAAAGATCCTTCAAAACTTTCTGTTAGAGGTGCTTGCAGACGTTGAGATACACACATACATGTGTCTAGATGTATGTGTGTGAGTGTGTGATATAATACAATTTTCTATTGAACTTATAATAAATGATAAACAAAAATTAGTAATTGTTGTAAATATTAATATGACCATTATTATATATATGGTAGAAGTTGTAATTGATAGGTGACTATCTTTTATATGTATTGTTATTACCTTATATTGGGTGATACCTTTGTATAAGAATTCTAACGATGAATGAGAAATCTCTCTGGCCTTCTGTCCTTATCTCTCTATTCTCATATTCTTATAACACGTTATCAGCGCTTTGCTCTACATCTTAAGCGTTATTGGCCTGAGTTAGATTCATCCCGTGTTCCAACGAACGAAGAAATACATGATGGATCGGAAATCACAGATTTTGTTTGTTTTTGGCCGATCTATCGTTGCTTGTCGCGATGGTGGCATCTAACTGTCGTAGATTGGATGTGAGCGACTCCGCCCACCGCTCGCGACTCCAAGTCGCGCCGTAGATGGCAATCGGAGGAGAAGGCAGCAGTGTCATCGCCAGGAACCAGTTCCGCCGCCGCAACCATCTCCGGATCATCGCCGCAGTCTGATTTCCGGTCGCTTCAACCTTTGAAAACAATTCCGTCGAACGAACCACCACCGTGGCAAATCCCCTGGAATCCAATTCTGTAGCCCCCGCCTCTATTCCTCGAATGATCAGATGGTAGATCGGTGGTCACCTACGATTTCCGATTCTCGGATCGCATCTTCGTCTTTGGAGACTATTCCGGCGACTCGGTCGCTGCATGGAGGGCTTAGATGGCGTTGGGGTTGATAAACAAAAATTAGTAATTAAGCACACTGTATTATTTATTAAATTAAAAAGTTATTAAAATAGCATTAACTTGAGTTATGTTTTTAAATTGTTTTCCCTTTTAACATTATCCTTTAATTTTCACAAAAAGAATATGTCAATTAATTATTTGTAAATTAACTAATCTCATAACAAGTTAATTCAATATATTATATAATAAAAAGTATGTTGTTAAATTATATATATATATATATATATATATATATATATATATATATATATATATATATATATATATATATATATATATATATATATATATATATATGTAATTAAGCATTAAAAGAAAAATTTAAATTTGTTAAAAGTTGGCATTCTTTAGCTCAATTTTTCTGAATAATTCTACCGTAATTGTATGTCAAGAACAATGCGGAGTGAGGAGAGAGTAAAGTAAATAGAAGAAAAATTATATATATTTTTTGCAACAAAATTTTTGTTCTTTTTCGTGAGAATAATTTTTGTTTGTTTTTTTTTTTTTTAGTACTATTGATGTTATTACTAGTATAATGTAAGTATATGTCCATAGTAATTTTTGTTAGTATTATTAATTGGAGTTAATTCCAGCAATGGTCCTCCGACTATAGTGATTTTTCAAAATTAATCCCCGACTTTTAATTTGGACACTTTAGGTCCATTGACTTTCAATTTCTTTCTAATTGAGGTCCTTTTGTTAGAATACGGTTCATTAGACTTTAAATGAAAGGGTAAACTCGTCCTTTCACCTACCTATGTATTATTCTTCGTATTTCTCCCTTCGTATTTCGCTGTTATACCTTGTAAACATCTCAATAATAGAGGAACGCACACACGAGTAGTCAGCAAATGGGGAACGGCGAGGAACATTTTAGGGTTTCGACTAAGATTATCTTCATATATATCGCGTATACAATGAAAAAATACTAAGAATAATACATATGCAGGTGAAATGATGAGTTTACCCCTTCATTTAAAATTCAATTAACCGTATTCTGACGAAAGGACCTCAATTGAAAAGAAATTGAAAGTCAAGAGACCTAAAGTGTCCAAATTAAAAGTCAAAGACTAATTTTGAAAAATTAATATAATCGGAGGACCATTGCTGGAATTAACTCTATTAATTGCATATGAAATTAGCAAATTTGCAACTTAGGAGGGAAGCTTCGCCAGCTGGCCCAGCTCAGTCAAGTCAATTAGTCAAGCCTGAAGCCTCCACTAAAACCCTCTATCTGTATATATAAAACCCTACACCCATCCAAGCCCCTCACTTTCCATACGCTTTGCTTCGCTTTACTCCTCACTCCTCCGCCTTCCGTCACCCTCTCGGAGCTCTCCGCCCTCCCCGCACAATTTCACCCCCATTCCGGTGAGTTTCTTGTATCTGATTATAATGTTTCTTTGATATATATATATTGGCTTTATTTCGTACTCATCGGTTCCACCTTCTACGACTTTTCGCCGGCGACGATGGTTATTATTATCCTACGTTCCCATAGGCTTTGTGTTTCTATATTTGTACCTTCATAAATTCTCATTCCAGATTGCTTATTTTCTTGTTTGCTTGCACTTCCGGCTTCGAATGCGGTATCTTTTTCCTGTGTTTCATAAAGGGTCCTGCTTTTATACTAGACTAGATATATTTCACGCGTAATTATTTAAAAAATTGTGTTTTTGTGTTGTTAACGCATGAATGATTTCGTTAGTGTTTAAATGAACTGGAGAGTTGATAATGTTTGGGTCTAATTTGTGATGCTTGTTTTGTCAATTTTGTGGTTTCATTTGCTTTGTTTTAATACTTTTCCTGAGTTCTGTTTTATTGGATGCTATGAAGAAGTTTTGTTGTCTAGTGCTAATGTGCTATTGGATACTGATGTTGGTATGTTCTGTGCCAGATGTCTTTTGGTTCCTTCAAGATACATCTGTCTTTCTTCTGGGGTGATTTCTTTTTCATGAATCGGGGAAGGTTGTGGTGTGCTGGGAAGATCCTGTTTCGACATTGGACTTGACAATTGCGATCTTTGCAACAAGGTGAGGGGAGTTTGGGTCTTGTGCTCTTTTCCTAGTTTACTCTGTCTATTGTTTGTTTTTTGGTCAACCTTTAAGTCTCCAGCTGTGATTAGTATTGCTCAATACTGATCGGGGAAATTCTTTTAGTTGATTTAGCTAATTAGCTGTAGGTCTTTAGTCATAAGTTTACATGGGGAGGACATTCCTTCCTCCTGGATTCCGCTTTCATCCAACTGATGTTGAAATTATAGTGTACTATCTCAAGAGGAAGATCATGGGAAAGAAACTTCATTTTTTTGAAGCTATATCAGAGATCAACATTTACAGGTTCTCCCCGTGGGATCTTCCAGGTAATTTTGATGTCTTTATAAGCATTGTTTGTATTTTTTATTTATCTATTCTAACTGAAAGTATCCCATCTTTGGTGTGGAGAGAGATACATTTTTGTCTGTTCTTATTTGATTGTAAATGTTTGAAACACTCTGATTTTAATTGATTTGATTTTATTTTTTAATGTTGTTTCTTTGTTTTAGATAAATCATCTTTGAAAAGTAAAGATCTTGAGTGGTATTTCTTCTGTCCGAGGGAGAGGAAGTATAATAGTGGTGGTAGAATGAATCGAGCAACTGAAACTGGGTACTGGAAAACTACTGGAAGGGATAGACCTGTAGTTTACAATGAGCGGACGGTTGGAATGGTTAAAACCTTGGTTTTCCATGAAGGCCATGCACCAAAGGGGAAAAGAACTGATTGGGTTATACATGAATATAGAATTGAGGACGAAGAAACTCTTCAGGTGACTGTCTCTGCTATTCTTTACTATTCTAAATCAGATAACTAAGATGGTATGAGGTGTTTTTATTTATTCCTGTAAACCTTTTCAGATTGCTGTTTGATTTGCTTAGCTGTGGATTTTGTTTCAAGGGGATGTGCCACATTATAAATTTGTATCTTTAGTAATTATTGTCTCTCTACTCTGCAGGATTCATATGTGTTATGTAAAGTATTCAAGAAGAGTGGACCAGGCCCAAAAAATGGTGCACAATATGGTGCACCATTCAATGAGGAAGACTGGGAAGATTGTGAAAATTGTGATATTCCATTTGCCATTCCTATGCATCCTAGTAACCAAAATTGCTCGTCTGTGACCGGCATGATTGACCCAGAGTGTTCATCTCGTCAGCCTTCATCTGAACCAGGTTCATCTGCCATTCCACCTGCCAAACTGCCGGATCCTATTAACCAAAACTGCACGTATGTGGCTGACATGATTGACCCAGGATGTTCATCTCGTCAGCCTTCAAATGAACCAGGTCCATCTTTATCCAGGCTTCATGCAGATGAGGTGCGGCCAAATAACCAAAACTGCTCAGTTTTTACGGGTACTATTGACCCAGGGAACACTTGCAGTCGGTCTTTGGCCAATCCAGGTCCATCTTTAGCTGTGCCTCATTCTAGTGAGGTGCCACCAGATGATGATGATATCAGTCAGTTCTTTGCCTCATTTCTGGAAGATACTGACTTACTCCCAATTGAGAATAATGAGGTTTGTATTTCATGCTGTGCTATATTCTCATTCTTGTTTAGTATCAAATTGAAATTTCATAGGCCAAAGAAGATTTGATGAGTTTTTTTTTGGTTGATGAAGGTTAGGGGTTAGCATATATAGCTTGGTTTTTCCTTTTCTTAATGTCCTAGAAGGCCAGCATAGTTGAGCATTTTGATAACAAATCTCTCTTTTATTGGTAGGACCTCAGCTAGATCTATGTTGGCTAATTTGACTTGTATAACAACATTGTTTATCTCATCAATCATCATGCTCACTAGGTGTGTGTATAAATGTTTTTGGTGTAATTCTTAGAATTGTTGAACAATATCTACTTGAAATTTATGCCATGACTTTAGGTACATTTTAATTTTTCATTGCAGCAGAAATTTAAATAAATTATCCTTTGACTGATTTTTAAAAGGCCTTCTTTTATATGGGCTGTCAATGTAAATCTGTATTGGCATTAAAATTGTAGAATTGTTTCAATGTGTTAGACGTTTCTGTGAAAATGTAGGTGATTTCACTGGTAATTCATTTATTTTTCCTCAAACACTTATCCATTGCATCTGTGTACAGAATGTTAACTGTTGCAATCAAGGTTTGAACGTGGACATGATGCCGTGCATGGATGGAAATGATGTATACACTGCGTTTGGTGGCCGTGATAACTTTGCAGACCTGAGTGGAGGCAGATCTTATCCCTCTGGAAGTCTGGTTGGTGACCACCCTCCTAATTTGCTATTCCCACAAGATGATGCTCCCTTTTTGGAGCTCAATGATCTTGTAATACCAGTAGATCACTGTACTCGAACCAGTGAAGCTGACCCATTAGTGGAAGAGAACTTATATTCATCGAATGCCTCTTTCCTTAGAATGGAGCATTTCAATTATGGAGGCAATTTTTCTGGGGGTAATCAGTTCATTCCAACTCAAAGCCAACTCCAAGTGCTTCCTCAACATTATACCCAACAAGTGAGTTATTTTAATGGCGTGCCTATACTATTAATGGCTCTGGTGGATTGTCAATACTATTTAATTGTGTGTTTTTAGCATATTATTGATTTGATGCGTTGCTAATTCGCTATGCAGGTAACTGGTATCGGCTTTAATGCAAGTCAGGGATACAATACCATGCCGGTAACTGGTATGGAGTTTAATGCAAGTCAGGGATACAATGCCATGCAGGTATCTGGTATCGAGTTTAATGCAAGTCAGGGATACAATGCCATGCAGGTATCTGGTATCGAGTTTAATGCAAGTCAGGGATTCGATTATGGTTTTGATACCATGATGCATGAACACGGGATGATCACATCACCTGCTGCTGATCGAGACCAGCATAGAGGTTGAAGAATTGCCTACAGTTCTAGCTGTGGAACTAAACAATTGCCAAATTTATTGGTCTACACTCTGCTGTTGTAGACTAGTATGATTTTCTAAGTTTGGGAAATAAAACTTTTTATTCTATGGACATGGTGTATCCCTTTTAATTTTTGTTGCACTGGATTGTTGGATTTTAACAATAAATTTTTTTTGAATGCTCTTTTATACAGTGTTCTCAGTTCTCATTTCTCATGTTTGGTTTACTGGCATCTAGAGGCATGTTTTCTTGGAGTAGTCAATCCCATATATTAGAGTTTGCAATATCTCAGGAGTTAGGACTATTTTCTTTTGCTTTTCTTTGTCTTTTGGATGGTTCAGTTGATTTTGGATTTTGTAACATTTTGTTGGTATTATGAAATATTTTATCTTCATGTTAGCTCCAGTGCTGGTCATTATACCCCAACAAAATGTTTCAAATGGTTTTCTATTTTTTCTGTTACTTCTGTCCTTGGGGTTCTGACTTTGTTGGAAATTTCTTAGAGATATTTTTATTTTCTTGCTAGACTTTAGATATTTATATTATTGTATAATAATAATAATAATAATAATAATAATAATGTAAACTATTTTTATAAATTTGATATATTTAGATTTTAGAAAATTTATATTTATATTTATATTTTAGTGTGGGCAATGGATTAATTTAATTTGTTTATTAGTCTTCTGGTTAAGGAAGAAAATTCTATAAAGTTTTAAAATCTTTTAAAATTTTGAATTTGCTTCATAAATTTTTAATCATAAATTTTAGTATCATCAATGCGAACGACATTTAGGGGTGTTTGGTTTATATTTGCTTGGTAGTATAAGATTCTCATGTTTGGTTCACGTTATGTAAGGGAATGTGAGATACCATAATTTATTAGGTAACGTGAGATACAATTCAATTTATTATGTAATCTCACATTCCCTTGTCTTATTATTAATTTTGAATTTTGTATTTTTTAATCAATTTATCTTATTATCGTTGTCTTATTTACATATCTTAGTTTTAAATTAAACACATGAATCTAACATTTTGTGAACAAAACGCCCCCTTAGGGTTTAGTGTTTTACGGAAAAAAAAGATGTATTTTTCCAAAATACCCTTAATAACTAAAAAATAAATTTGAACTATATTTTCTTTACTTCAAGTCTCCTCATTTATTGAGGAAACTAGAGGCTCCATTCAATATGCATGGGACAACATTGATTGGAGAGTATAATACTGAGGGGCGTTGAGGGACAAAACATAAATACAAACATTCAATTTGCCTCTCCTTTGGATTGTATTATATCGTTGTTGATTTTATCAAATACTCCGTATATTTTTTAAATCGTTAATATAATTTGTAGTTAAAACAGTTGATACCAATCTGCTATCTGCTATCCGCTAATCGCTTATTGCCAAACAAAGTCTTTTATGTAATTTGTTATTATTAACAATAATTAATAATTAATTATTATCCTTTTAAAATCTTTTGAAAATATTTTTCTAGAATTCAGGAAATATCATCATATACTCTCTACCAATTCACTACATGCACAATGTGATGACAGCCCTACAAAGTTTTTGGAGATCAAGGCACTTTGACCAAACATCAATATTAGATTGAGAGCTCTCTTTATCAGATTGATATGTGAAAAAAATAAATGAGGTAACATATAATAAAACTAATTAAATGATATTTAAGATTAAAAAAAAAAGGCTCTGTCAAAGAAAGGAACTTAAAGATAAATTGAAGGATTGCTTGGCTTGTAATGTTGGCAATATGACAAAAAAGAGGGAGAGTAGATGGAAATGGATGACATGATAGAAATGTGATGGGAGGTGTTGGACTTATCTCATTTGAGCATATAGTCATTAATGTGCAATCCAACTATCAGTTTAGACTTTTAGTTAGGATGAAGCACATGTTTCAATTTAGTAATTAAGCGTGTTCCTCTAGTTATATCCGTGGTACAGACTTAGTCCCTTAGTTATATGCGTAACCATTTTAACTCCTAAGTTATGCACAAAGTGACGATTTAGTCCTTTAATGACCAAATCAGCCACTTTATTAAATTACAAATTGGTGGTAGAAATAGACCTCGATGGATTAAAATCGTCACGTCATACATAATTTAGAGGTTAACAATGGTGACGCATATAACTCAGAGACTAAATTTGTAGCACGAATATAACTGAATGACTAAAAATGCAATCTTCCCTTCTTTTTAATATACTAAATATAGTAATATCCAGCTAATTGGCATTCTTAGTTATATTATTCTTCGCCCATTATACCTTTGTTTCCTTAGCCCATCTTTTCACGTGCTTCCTATCAACTGATAACTGCCAATTTTTCAGTATATAATTCTCTGCTAATTGCTTAACGTTTCTCCCTCTTCTTCCTCCTCGCTCTCTCTTCTTTCTTCCGTTTGTTGTCTCTTTCGCCATAGCTTTAGCTTCTTTGTACAAATGTCTCACTCCACGCGCCTCAAACCCAACCGCCGCCGTGACCCGCCGCCGCCCAAGCCCCGCCGCTCCTGGTGCTGCTTCGCCGAGCCGCCTCACAGCCCCGACAATCCCACTACTACTTCAGCTGCTTTTTCTCAGAAGACCAAATCCCCATCTTCCATTTCCCATTCCTTCCCCGCCTCCCCTCTCTCTTGCAAATCCAACACTAACACTCTTGTTACTCGGACTACTCGCCGGATCCTTTCCCCGGGCCGGGTGTCTCCTATCGACGAAACCCTAGCTCCCCCCAATCCTCTGCCGCTCCACCTGCATTCCTCCCGCTCCGCTGCTGAGCTTCCTGCGTCGCCCTCGCCGCTCCGCCGCGAGGGCTCTAATGCTAGCGCCGTGACGGAGGAGGAGTGCGGTCCCGAGGGAATCTTCGACGCGAGGTTGAGTCTCAAGGGGAGTAATGGGGGTGCCTTGGTGCTGGAGCTCTCCGCCGAGGCTCTCGCTGCTAATAGCTTGGTATTTGCCGACTTGATTGCGGATTATCGGAAAAAGTCTAGGGGTTTGTGCCGGATTGAGGTCCCGGATGTGGATAATTTGGGCGTTTTCCGTCAGACAATTGAGCTTATGTTCGAGGAAGATATCCCTAGAGCACTCCTCAGAATGGGGGTTTGCCGCGCCATTGATGTGCTGGAGGTAATCATTTGGAGGTTTAATTACTACTCCGCATTATATTGTTCATTTTTGTGGATTTCCCTCATTCTTATTGTTTAGGAAAAAGAGTGCATTGGCATTCATGTTTGCAGGCATGAAATTTTCATTTCATTAGTCGGTTCAAGTATACATTAGTTATCAATTGCATGAAGTACAGAAAATGCTTTTAGTTCCTTGCCCTAAGCTTGCTTTTTATCTTTTGGGTGATGAGAAGCTCGCATCCACTATCCGAGAGTGTGCACTAGTGAACCCTGTTTCCAAGCACAAGAAAGTAAACCAGCCTCTGTTGTTCATAGGATACCAAGAAGGCCAATGGGCCGATCCCTCTAGGAATCGAACTTGTAATACCAAGTCAACAGTTTGATCAACTTAGTTGGGATTGTACCAATTTGTTTTTTTTTTTTTTTTATCTTGGTTTTAGGAGTGTCAACATATAGTGATTGTATTATTCTGGCAGTGGGAACAATATAGTGTTCTTCTTTAACTTTTTATTTATTTATTTATTTATTATTATTATTATTTTTAAATATCGAGTATTGAAATTAAGTGAACTCTTATTAGAAGTCTAGAGGTCTCTTTCTGAAAACTGCTTACTTGTACAAGGAAACAAATTTTTTTGCAAAGCTCTGATTTTGAAGCATGGGGATATTGGTGGCTCATATCAACTCTGCATGGTAAAATTGAACTCATTCCCATTTAAGGAACTATTGATTGAACTAACTAATTAATTGTCCTTTGAAATTATCCATTTATATTCTAGCTTTTTTTTTTTTTTTTTTTTTTTAAATTCCTTCAAACTCAGATTTTACCAGATCAGCGGCACCTTTCATATCTATCCTTGTTAGTGAAACACTTCCTTGATCTTCTTGGAGTCTGTAATCCTTTAACCCTGATTTCTGCATTGTGATTTCCCCTGTTTGTAAACTAATGTAAAATGTCTGGTTAGTCTATTGTTACTATATCAGATTAGCGTCACTGAAATTGAGAGGAATTCGAACCTTCTTGTTACCGTACTTCCAATTCTTGCAATTTAGATATCTCTAGAGTCCAAACACCAGATGATAACATGGTAATGGAAATTTCATCACTGTGTTGCTTTGATGCAAACATATTCCCAATTAAGGATTCTCCTTTACTTCTTTTTGTATGCCTAAGAAGGGGGGATTAGGGATGTTAAGCTATATGCTTTTGGTAAATTTCTTTTTATGATCATCAGCTGTAAAAGTTTTCATAATAGATTACTTGTCAAGTTTTATGTATGGCTTACCTGGCGGGAGGGGGGGTGGGGGGTGGGGGGTGTTATATGACATCCCATGATAGATTATCTGGCTTTTCAGTACCATTTCGTACCACTTTCTCTTGCAGTGTGTCAGTGCCATACTGTCATTAATTGTTAAACACAAAATATTGACCTTTGCTTTTAATCATTAGGTTTCAGCTGGCATTAAATTTGTGAGGGGAATTTTGTCATGTTTAAAGTACATAGAAGCCATGCCTTGGACTGAAGAGGAAGAGGAGAAACTGAGGAGCTTATTTGGTAGGGTCAAGTTTGATGATGTAACCACCAGAGACATCTTGGGCAGGCTGTATACTGAAGACAACTCATCAAATTCTCAAACTTTGACTAAGAATATTGTTTCGTCTATAACCACCTGTAATGATGCGAATGTCAGAAACGAGCTCAAGTATTTAGTCAAAGGTCTCCTGTGCAAAAGCTCTGTGTATGAAAAGTGCGGTGAATTAAACAAAGAGGACATCTTTGGTGTTTGCAGAGCTTGCCTTGGCTCACTGATTTCTCTGTTTGAGGAGGCCACTACCCCTAATCCATGTGCAAACTTGGCTGAAAAAGCAAAAGAAAAGCCATTAATCGAGAGAATATCATATCAGGTTGACAACATCAATTGGCTGCTAGACATTTTGCTGGAGCACCAAATGGCAGAGGATTTGGTTGACATGTGGACAGATCAAGCTGAGTTACTGAGCATGCATGAGCGTGCTTCTCCTATGCTTAGGTATGAGCTGAGCCGAGTGTCGGCAATGCTGTTCATTGCAATGGGCACTAGAAAAGTGCATTGTCGCTCAGAAGCAAGGTCGGGGCTTCTTCAAGCGTGGTTCAGACCAATGGTATCGGATTTCAGTTGGTTACGAAGGTGCAGAAAGGGCCTAGATGTGAAGGTTTTGGAGGAAGCCATGGGTGTAGTTCTCCTAACTCTTCCTTTAAAGGAACAATACATGCTGTTTATGGATTGGTTCAGGTGCTTCTCCAAGAACGGTACAGATTGCCCCAACCTCAGCAAAGCCTTCCAGATTTGGTGGAGGAGATCATTCCTTAAAGGCTCCGAGACTCATGCTGCTGAATCTAGGTAAAACTCTGCCTGCCTACTATTCCCCATTTGATTTTACTATAATCTTGTAGTCAATTGAATCTGGAACATATGTGATAGATATGTTGGTGGTGAATAATGTAAATCAACTCAGGGTGGCAATGCTATTTCACCCAGATTCAATGCACTCTCTCATCTAGAAAGTAGTTCCATGTTAGAATAACATTTTGATGCCATAACTGCAATTCCTGTTCCTGTGCATAGGCCATGGCTACTATTCCCCATTTGGTTTGAACTGACAAATTATGAACAACTTATGCTGATTTATCTCCTTATAGTTCTTTGCCGATTAGAATCTCAAGACAGGTTTTATCTAATGTGTACTTTCAAATGGTAGTGGCTGTGAGATAGAAAGGTAACGGCTGGGTAACTACCCGTATATTATTTATATATGATGATATGTTTAACACAATTGCATGAAATTTAAAATACCAAAAGAGAGTCTATATATGATATGTTTAACACAATTGCATGGAATCTCAACTTTAAATTCTAAAATTTTAAAATTTCAAGGAATTATGGTAAAACTTTGTTTCTCTCAAATTTTAAGAACTCAAACTTTTGAGAAATTTATTTCTAGCAAATCCATCAAGCACTATTACATTTTTTCATGGATGATGAGTCTATATAATGAATGTATTAAATCCAATATAATAATTGTGGCTTTAATTTTTATTTTTATTTTTTATCATAAAAAAAAACACTATTTACAAATCTACAATTCAAAAACAACACGATAAGCCATAGGGACATTGGACCTCAGGGTTACACTATAAGCATGGCACACTTAAATCCAATTATACCGAGTAAAGAAACTTACAAGATAAACAATAACTTTATTTTGGTCCTTGTAATCACAACTAACTTAAAAGTTTTACAACTAATGATTACACATCGGGTCGGTGAAAATATTGACTATGATTTTTGTTAAATATTTTACAATATCCGGAAAAGCGCACACGGTATGAAAGAAACCGTCAATACATCTGTCTGCTGAAAAATAAAATGGTATTGTCGGGGGCTAAACACTACATATGATGTTGTCACAAAATTTGAAGTTTTCCTAATTAATTTCCTCCCCAAGTTGATTCTATAGTCAGCATAGATCAGAAGTGCAGAAAACATGTAGTATATATGTATGTACGTAAAATCACGTGGAAACTGACTTCACCATTTTATTTTATTTTATAATATCAAAGCACAGCACCCCAGAAAAACAATGTTTGAAAAGGTATGCACTAAGCAGCGACGTTTCAACTTAGAACCATCCTTCCCTCCTTACTTCTAGACCAGAATGTTTCTAGAACATCAACTTATATATATATATATATATATATATATATATATATATATATATATATATATATATATAATACAGATCAAATGCTTAAATGTGAATGGTGTGCTAAGGTGCGAATGTGGGTAAGATGAGAGCTATTGGTTTTGCCAATATCAACGTCCAAGATTAACAAGGACAACGACACAACGTCCACGATTTCATATTCATAATTTCTATACTGTAGATTCATAAACTTTATACTTTAGATTCATAATTTCTAAATCATAGATTCATAATTTAAATACAGTAGATTCATAATTTCTATACTGCAGATTCATAATATTTGTATTGCAAATTCATAATTTCTGCACTGTAAGCCTGTAAATTTATAATTTCTAAACTGTATAGTTATCAAATTATGAACATATAGTTCTCTGATTTGTGAAAACAGAATTCAACAATTGGAATCTAAAGTATAAATTTTATGAATCTACAATATAGAAATTATGAATCTACAATATATAAATTATAAATCTACATTATAAAAATTATGGATATAGAACCGTGCCCACCTTACACGTGCTCACAGCATAATTTGCCATATAATGCATGCATGCCCCTTTCAATAGTACGGGTAGAGTTTGCACCAAATAAAATTCTTCCTTCTTCATTATTATTGGTTGTGAAAAGTATATAAGACTTTCTCTCCATATAAATAGGAATTCAATTTCATTGTATTTTTTTAAGCAAGCAATCTAGATTGGAAATAATGAAACTCTGTAAAAATTCATGTTTAGTAATTAAAATCTTTGGGTATGTATTATTGTCACAAAGATAATATAACTACAATGACATCTATATTTTCTGTTTTTATTGCATTTTAATTATTGTTGTTATTAGATTAAAAGCTCAATCTAAGCTCTTTTTACAGGTGCCTGAGTCAATAATCAACAAAGACAAAACATGTATATACTTCAATTACTATAATATTAATGTTTGGAAATGTGAATTATAATTAGACTAACTATGTAATAAATTTAAATTTAAAACATAAATTTTATTGACTTTGAGCTGAAGTAAGCATTAAATTTATCCATATCAATAAAAACACAAAAGTAATACATTTCATTATATTGTTTTTTTTTTCTTTTAAAAGGGTGAATATACAACAAATTATATTTTAAAATTAAATAAGTAGCTTAGTAAATATTTTTTGTTACAAAAAGATGGAATCGTCTACCCCAGGCATCCCTACAATACTCAACTGATCAATATATACAAGATTTTTTTGCTCACTTGCACACAAATAGTCCCCCCCCCCCCCCCCCCCCCCTCATTTGAGAGGCTGCTCATACAATGAGATTCAATTCTTAACCTCTTGTGACAAATTTCACCTATATATGTGACCAATCGAGTAGTAAATATTTCTATTACAATTGATGAGTTGTATATCCATTATAACCAATTACAACATCTAATAACCTATAACCCCCCCCCCCCCCCCCCCCACCCAAAAAGAAAAAAAGAAAAAAAGACAACCTTTATAAAGATGCACTATACAATATAAATTTTTTGTGAGATTTGAATGCATAATGACAAAAGCTATAGAATTCAAAAATAATTATTGATTTTTGGTCTATGCATATATATCATCCTTATGTATGTATGAGCCATGGTCCTCTTCACCTATGATTGATTAAGTTGGTTGATATGTCTTAATACTATAAACAATTCTTTTTGTTATTACCATCCCATCATCTATCTATTATGTTCGTGTCAGATAGACATTTGATTAAGTAAATTAAACGGGATTCGTGCAATCGTGCTATTTCATTCACATCTCGTGTATGTATGTGTGTGTATATATATATATATATATATATATATATATATATATATATATATATATATATATAAATTTTATTTGATTACTAATGCCTCATGATTTAAGTGGAATGTGTTCTGTTATCATTTTAAGTAAAATTTTGAATTTAAATATAATAAATACAGTGATAAAGTGTATTATTAGGAATGCTTTTCAAGTAAGATCTAATAGGGCTAATAATTCAATCCTTTAAAAAAAATTATGCATCAAATAATAACTTTTATTTAATTTGGTTGACACTTGTATTAAATTAATTAATTACTATCTATCTCTTATATTTGCATCCATACTAATCATTTAGTTTTCTGGAGGATCCACCGGTCGCTATCATTACAATACATTTTTATTTTTATTTTTTGTTTAAAAATGAAATTTGTTGTTAGATTCCAAAATAAATTAAAAAATACAAATTAAAAATTCCAAATTTTCAAATTTTAATCTTAGAATTTTTAATATTAAATGATTTTATATTATTATTATTTAATAGTTTGGTGGTTGTGTAGATTTCTACCTGCCCGGCGGCCTAGGCATCATCCGTTCACGTAGCTTTTATACATTTTTGTCCATTACTAACTATACCACAAAGTTTTGTAGATATCCATGTCACTATTTCTGCATTTTTCACACGTATATATTCTAAAAATTTAGAAAATGCTAAATATTTTTTTTAAATATCAACCGTTTTATTCTTCCAAAAGTTGAACCCCAACCCACCCAACAGAGCATTTGGGAGGACGTAAATCATGGTAACATAACTGAACATGAACCACAGAGGCTAGACCTTTGCTCACTGCGCACAAGAAACCCCCCTCACTTTGAGAGGTAGCTCCCACACTACCGCTGGTGAGACTCGATCCCTGGTCATATCAATCGTTTTATGAATCGACAGTAGATGGGAAAAAATTGAAAATATATTTTACAGCTTTTAAAAGTAAAAATATATTTATACTACTCTGAAAAATACTCGGTATATTTTTTTCAATATAGGAACAAAGGTAACTTGAAGGACTTTCTGAGCTATCTTTTTCTTAATGTTATGAGTACATTTGAGAATTAATCACTACTAGAAATTATTGAATTTTCGACCACCTGAAAGTGATCTTAAATTAAGTTGAAAGTAAAAAGTGGTCGGAAATAGCAACAAGAGTTTTTTCGGATGCCAAAAGTGGTCGGAACAAGACTTTTGACTCGATTTAAGATCACTTTCAGGTGGTCGAAAATTTCAGAATTTTCAGTAGTGAATTTTTCATTTACTTATTATTTGTTTTGAATATATAAATATACAAAATTCATCTCCTCACAAAGGGAATTCAAATCCATCTTGACTTGGCTTAATTTGATTGTAGACCTGACTCAAAATAATATTTCAAAATGACCACTTACATGTTTTTTTTTTTTAAAAAAATATTGCGTGCATTTTTGCCTATTCTAACCTCTAAAATTGCTCTAACTAAAGATAATTTTTTAATAAAAAAATAATAATGAATACTTCTTCTATTTAAGAAAAATAGTCACTTCCTATATGACAAAATATCACATCATGCAATAATTACCCAAATATATAACTGACACATCAGAAAGTGTCGATTTGTGAGTGATATATATAGGTCATATGTGTGTTTAACAAGGTCTTGGTAAAATTGTCAAATATTACATTATTACTCATGCTATATATTATCGTCACTGTTGAATCATAAAAACATAATAGTTGAAAATATAGGTAGGTAACATATTCCGAGTGATAGTGCATGTGTGTGTGTGTGAATTGAAAGGTTGATGCTGAAACTTGCACGACTAGCTTTTATATATAAATGTGTGTGTGTATATATAACATGTAGTTTAATTTGTAAGTTATAATTAAGTTTAAGAAATTTTCATGTTGAAGTCGTCGTTGGTTAGACCTCATGCTAATAAAATTAGTTTCACTGTGTTATTTGTATTATCTTTTATACCGTGACAAAAACTAATTAATCTCAAGTTTATTTTGATTTGATGTTTCAATCATGTCTGAAACTAATTAAATCGATCAAATATATATATATATATATATATATATATATATATATATATATATATATATATATGGATCTTAATGTATTATCATGTTAAATAGATAAATACAATAATATTAAATCTAAGTACTATTTATTTTTCAATAAAGTGCAACACATTTAAATGTAAATGACAATAACAATTTGACAGGATTTGTTCGAAATTAAATTAATATAAAGTTTGATCAATATTAACTCATCAATGCAATAAGCTAAGATAGGCTTCCCATGTTATGCCAAACTAATTCTAATCTCTAGGTCCTCGCTCCTATAGTCACTGGAGGAGGCGAGCACAGTTAATGCTTGCCTTATTAATTTGAGCAAAAGGTGCCCAACCCTAATGATGATGTTTGAGGGGAGCCCGATTCCTTGCCCATATAGTCACTGGAGAAGGTAAATCGTGAATTGCATGAATAGTATTTCAATCAATCAACGCCTTACTGTGTCACCATATTGCTTCCAATCATGACTTGAGATCAGGTAATCGACCACTCATACTAATCGGGGTCACTAGTTCTACATATTCTCCTCATTGTTAGATTGCCCTGCTAAGCTAGTGCCAAACGTGGCTTCTACATTTCAGGGCAAAACAAAGTATATATTAAGCCTTACTTTGTGGGGAAGGGGGTGGAGTGGGGTGGGGATACCAAATATTAACTTATATATAAGCTAATTTGTACATTAGCTATATTACTCTTTAATTTCATTCATTGAATTTATTGACAAGACTTAAATATTTTTCTAAATTCATAATGTAACACACTATAATTAATGAATAGGCATGTCATTGAACTAGTTGATTCGTTTGGCTGCCACTCATATTCGTTATAGGTATACATTCTACTATACATATGTCTGGACCATTATATTGTACTAGTGAAGATATACATAATACATAGTTGACTTAATGGCTTTTAAAAATGACAAAAATTTGTGTGAGATGATCCATGAGGTGGGTCATATTATAGACAATTGAATGTGTAAGTATCGCAATTTCTTTTATAAGTATTATAATATTTATTATTAATAACAATCAATTTTACCCTAAATAATATCACAATTTCACATATAAGTATTACATATCTATCATAAGTAATGATCATTTTTAATTCAAATTGGAATTAAATTTTCTACAATAAGTATTGCAATTCCTTTCATAACTAATATTTCACATATAAGCATTACAATATTTACATTAGAATTGCACTTTAATTTAATTTGTAAGTATCACTTACAATTTCAGTTATAAATGAATTGCACTTCAAAAAAAAAAAGAATTGCACTTTAATTTGTAAGTATCACGTACAATTTCAGTTATAAATATTACAATATTTATCATTAGTAACAACCATTTTACCCTAAATAATATCACAACTTCACATATAAATAAATATTACAATATATATTATAATTAAGTAACAATTTATCTATTTTAATTTTGTATTAATTTTTTTTATAATAAGTATTATGATTTAATTTCTATGATAAGTAACAAGCAATTATCCTAGATTCGACATGTCTCACAGATTACGGATTAAAATTCATGAAACAGTCTCACATAAATCTCACTCTATAAGAATTTATAGACTTTAGAAAACACCATTTTTCATACATTAATAGCAATTAAGGACAAAATTGCAAAATATACATAATATAAAATATATATCATATCTCGTATTATTTGACACCCTTTTACTTTCAATAATATTTTAAAGAATTGATTAAATGAATGGAATATAATTCTTATACTTGAAAATTACAAATTTAAATTTTGTCAACATTATATCTTCTTCTTTTTGTTGTTGTCAAGTTCATCGCAAAAATAAATAAATAAATAAAAATACAGCCAAAATTTATTTCCCACCTGATTCAGGTTAGTTTCAATCCAACGTAACACCTTGTATTTTTGTCAATGTCTCTGAATCTTTATTTCAACATGTACACACACTGACACACACGAGTATCTTCATTTCTTTTTAAAATTTAAAGGGCAAATAATTTTTTTTCTTTTTTAAAGGGCATATAAATTTAAGTTGAAGAAATTAAAGTGTCAATTGCATGTGGACATGTGATATGGAATTATAATTCTTGGGATGACTAATGACTTTGCTGCTGAGCCTTAATATTCCGACAGAAGATGTAAATCACGAGAAAACACTAGTCAAATGAGTGGCTAAATGAGTTCATCATGAATTTCGTATCAGAAAATTAGGCGTTTGATTATTGTCAACACATTCTATGTTAAGTTTGTCGCATAAAGTCTTCTTAATGTAATTTGTTTTACAAAAATAAAGTTTACTTAATATATACAATGACTACGTTCTTGTTTGGTAACATAGTTAGCTTATCAGTCAATTTTGGCTTATTTGACTACTATTAGCTGTTTTAAAGCATCATATTAATTCATCATCAAATTCGATATACATCTCGGCCGAACAGGGTCCCAAACACCAACCCAGGAACAGTCGCCCGTGCAAGCACATGAGCTACCTGATTAGTTTTTTTTTTTTTTTTTTTTTTTTTTACCATTATTAGCTGTTTGACTTAGTTAAAAAACTAATATAAGTGTTTGATTAATTAGTTTTTTCTGTAACAGCTTATTGCTCCAAAAGACTAAATTCAAAAAGATATTCAAAGCAGTATTTTCGATCAGGTTTTTGAGAAAGTCATTTTGCATGTATGTACAAATAGTTTGAACATTTGTATGCTCGTTTGTTAAGAGCTCGTAAACGCATTCATTAGTTTTCGTTTAATAATGTTCATAAACATGCTTGTTTATTGTTTGTTTAATACATGATTTACGAACATCTTCATTTAGTGTTTGTTTAAGACTGCACAATCTTAAAAGAAAAGCAAAATGACGTATTGTCAGTTCTTTATTTAATATATATCATTTTACCTCTCCAATTCTTATATATTTAATATAACAATATATATATCATATAATGTTGTTTACTAAAGATGTGAAGACAATATTACTAGATTGAACTTGGAGGTGAAGATAATACCAAGGAGTAGTACTATAGTTAGTTTTTATAAATATACAAGATAATAGCCCACACGGGCTTAACTCACCTGGTTGAATATTTGAGAGAAGAAATGTTGAGTAGTTGAGCCACTACTCCCTCACATATTCTGTTGGGTCGAAAAAATTTATAAAGTGTTCACTTTGTTCACTAGTAAATCAAATTAACTCTTACCTCTTTTATTATATTCGATACACATCGTTATGGTAATGGTTGACACCTTAACATTTTTAATACTCATGCCCGCAAAAGGTAAAACTCTCTTGTCTCCAAAGTCCCACACCTCAACCTGACAAAATAGTATATCTGATGTAACTTTCACACTCTGAAAATCAAGACTCGATCATATACCCTTATCCATATACTTTCACATTTTAACGATCAAGGCTCGATCATATGCCCTTACCTTATAATACTCCCTATTTGGCAATTTATTAATAGGGAGTAATATATATGTATAATTAAGGCTCCGTTACAAAGAAAACGATAGCCGCCACGTCACCATCCCGGTTTAATCCAACCACCGCCTGCCGTCCCCAACTAGATGAGCTGTTCCTCACTGTGCACTTGCCATTGGCTTTCGCCTTGGCCCCTCTCTCTCTCTTTCTCTCTCTATACGTACTTGTCGTCTATCTCTACCTTGGGTTGGGTTGGGTTGGGTTGTTTTCTTCTTGAACTTTTCTTCTTCACTTCTTCGTCTTCAGGTCCTTCTGGTACATCCCCCTTTACCTCATTTCCGTTCATAATATAAAATTTCTCCTCCTCCTCCTCTCTCTCTCTCAGAAACTGATAAGTTTTTCACTCATTCTTCTCTCAGTTAGTTCATAAAAAATGCCCGCTTGGTGGGGAAGGAAATCCACCAAGAGTAGCTCCAAAGACCCACAGCCCAATTCTCCGGCCAGCGTCAAGAATGAAAGCCGGAGAGCCGCCGCCGCCGTTGATAGGAGCGACAGGCCCAAGAGCTTCGATGAGTCGTTCGGAACAGTTATAGCGAGGAATTCGCCCAGAAGTAGCAGAGAATTCTCTAGTGGTAGAGGGTCTTCGGGGTTCTCGGGTTTCGATTCGGCTTCGTCTGATAAACCGCTTCCACTGCCGACGCCGTCGAATGAACATGGGATTGGATTGGGATCTGGGTCGGAGTCGGGATCCAGCGTTAGCTCTACTGGCTCCTATGATGATCATCCCCACCCCGATCATGCTCAACCGTCTTCTTTCAGGTTGGGTTTTGTTTGATTGTTGATAAAGCTTCGATCTTTGAACAGGGTTTCCCTATTTTGTGGTTAATTTGGTGATAATTCATGGTGGTTGACTTGGTATGACCAGAATTGAAACGTTATAATCACCTAGGATTTTATCTTATTTTCTTTCTTATTTCTTCTTTTTAACTTACAAGATTGGAGAGAGGTTTGGTTTGGTCTGGTTTGATGCCACAGCTTTTTCATCTTGCCTATCGATTTCCTAGCAATTAGTAATTTCATCAGCTCTGTTGGGTGAACTTTTTTCTTGATTGTGATTTCAGGTGCTAAAAGGTTTTATTTTTAGGTGCTAAAAGTTTTTATTTTTCCTTGATTTTAGTTGCCCACTTCTATGTGTGTATACTAGTTCAGTTCTTGACTTCTTGTCCTGTTTGGAGGATTATCTTGAAATTTCCATGAATTTCTGGATTGAGTTGTAGATAAAACTAAAGTGTTCACAGTAAGTAGCATGAATCTGTTGTGAGTAATGGTTGCTTGCTTCTATGCTGGACTGCAACTAGTCTAAAACCTTAGTAGTGAGAAAACTCGTGTTTTGTGGCAGAGGAGCTGGGGACAACAGGATGAGCCCGCTATCTCGAAGCCCTGTTAGATCGAGAGCACCTACTACCACACCGTCACCTCTACATCCTCGATTTGTGGGTGGTAGTTTGGATTCTCCAACGGGGAAGTTGGATGATGCCAAGAGTGAGTGTCATCGGTTGCCTCTTCCACCTAGCTCTCCGACCAGCCCTCCCGCTCTGCCAAATCCAAGAACTTGTGTCACTGAAAGCTTGAGTGGTAATTTGTCAAAATGGAAGAGGGGAAAGCTTCTGGGCCGAGGCACGTTTGGCCATGTCTATCTCGGATTTAACAGGTGATGATCCTTTTGTCTTCATTTCATGATAGCACTTTTACTCGATTTTGATACTTTTCTGGAATGTAATAATAGCAATTAATGCGTTATCAATATTTACAGTGAGAATGGGCAAATGTGTGCGATAAAAGAAGTCAAAGTCGTTGCAGATGATCAGACATCCAGAGAATGCCTCAAACAATTAAACCAGGTTTTCCCTATTTCTTGTGTATCATTTTGAAGTCTTATTACCTTTTACACACGTTTTTTTGTGTTTCTGACATATTAACTCTTGTCTACAGGAAATCAGCTTGCTCAGTCAATTTTCACACCCAAACATTGTTCAATACTATGGAAGTGAACTGGTATGCCCCGCAATTACCCCGAGAGTTGACTGTTGAAATTTGCACGTTCACTTGTCTTGTTGTATGATAATCAAACCCGATGAATAGAAAGTTGTCACATAGCACCTTTTGGTAATTTGTTTTCTTTAGGGCGACGAAACGCTCTCAGTTTACTTGGAGTTTGTGTCGGGGGGATCTATCCATAAGTTGTTGCAAGAATATGGTCCGTTCAAGGAGCCCGTTATCCAAAATTATGCCAGGCAAATTCTATCTGGCCTTGCGTACTTACACGCAAGAAATACGGTGCATAGGTAATTATTTGTCAATGAAGTCATGTTCAGCAAGTCAAAACTAGTCTTCCAAATCACGGGTTTTTTAAAAGGCGGTGCTTTTCTACAGGGATATCAAAGGAGCAAATATTTTGGTCGGCCCCAATGGTGAAATCAAGGTTGCAGATTTTGGCATGGCTAAACATGTAGGTATCAGCTAAGCTTTGTGTGGGTCCCAATGTCATCGGTTGTCTCGATTCGATTCTTATAATACTTGATTTATTTCCTACCAGATTAACTCGGCCTCGTCAATGCTATCTTTCAAAGGAAGCCCCTATTGGATGGCACCCGAGGTATACCTACCAAGCCTTTGAACTTAATTTGTTTTCGTAAGTTCCGTTTTGAATTTTGGACCGACAACTTAACTGTATCTACTTTCAGGTAGTTATGAATACAAATGGCTACAGCCTTGCAGTAGATATATGGAGCTTAGGATGTACGATTCTTGAAATGGCAACATCTAAACCACCTTGGAGCCAATACGAAGGGGTAAGATAGATATTTGAAATTCATTCGGACCGATATACTCGTATTTTGCTGGCCAGCATCGGAGAATTTATGCCAAATTCTGTCGGTTTTCTTGTAAATGGCAGGTTGCCGCCATATTTAAAATTGGAAACAGCAAAGATATGCCTGAAATACCCGATCACCTATCTAACGATGCCAAAAATTTTATAAGGCTATGTTTGCAGCGGGACCCGTCTGCACGACCTACAGCGGCACAGCTTCTCGAACATCCTTTTACTAAAGACCAAAAGACGGCAAAAGTTGCCCACGCTAACATTATTATTAAGGAACCAAATCCTTCCTCCTTTGATGGAAGCCGTACCCCGGTAATTGTCTTATCTTGGGACATCATTTCATTTCTACCAAAGTGTTTATAGTTTCACATATGTGTGGGGGATTGTAAAGGTTAGACTCGAGAAGGAAGATTTATGCAATTTTATCCGTACTTTAGAGTAGTTTCAAATTTCAATGCCTAAATCCCATGACCTAATAGTCGGGGGTGATTATTATTATCTTGAATATTTGCAAAATTTCAAGTACTTATTTGCTTTCCGATAACAATTAGGAAATGTGATTTAAACATAGGCTGTTTGGCAAACCTAGCTGAAAAGGTAACTGAAAGCTTAAAAGGAGCTGAAAGCTGAAAAGCTATAAGCTAGGAGCTGAAAACTGAAGAGCTGTTAAGCTAGCTGTTATGCTTGAAAGTGTTTGGTAAAATTAGCTTTTTGATAAGCTGATAAATGTAAAAAGACAAAATAAGCTCTTATTTTAAGCTAGGAGCTTATTTTGGAAACATTACCAAACAGAGCTTATAGCTTATTAGTAACTTAAAATAAGCTATAAGCTCCTAAATAAGCTCTGTTTGAACAAAATCTTCGTTGCTTTATCATTACCTTCAAGACTTTAGCCTTCTGAGATGTTTTTTGTGGCGTTTGCTTTTTGTTTTAACAGCCAGCTCTGGATCTACACCCCTGCCGGGGTTATATGGGGTCTCTCGAGGCAGACAATTCTACAAAACCCGTTACTATATCTAGACCCATGATCAGCTCGAGGTACTGGAAATGATAAAAAGAAACTTCGGTTTTACTACTGTCTATAGACTATAGTTAGTCCTACAATCATATCGTCTCTGAAACATAAACGTTATTCTCACGTTCTCGTAACCTACAGGGAAAGCGCAAGAACCATAACTTCGTTGCCGGTATCTCCCTGTTCGAGCCCTCTAAGACAGTACGAGCCTGCACGCAGAAGCTGCTATCTCTCCCCACAACACCCATCGTATCCCCTCATGGGCCAAAGCGGGTACAATGTGAACGACTACTCAACGCTAACAACAGCAAGGCCGAATACCAGAAGCACGCTAGATCCATGGCTCGAGATGGCTCAATATCGAGGCCAAACAGCGGGTAGATCCTCGAAAACAAGACCCATTCTTTAGACACGACCCCAGAAACACGAGCATGCAATGGGTTTTGCCCTTCTCCGAGGGAGATGAACTGCTAGCCGGTGAAGAAATTCAAGAAAAATGGGAATTCGTTTTTTGGGTGATCATGCGGCATTCGTTCCCCGGTCCCGGTGGCTGTAATCTGTAAAGATCACATCTTTTTTGTTGCTAAATGTAAATAAAATGTGTAATCTTGGGAGTTGGTAAATGTAGTAGGAGTGGGTGAGATTTGGTGTACTCACAAGCCACAAGTCATGCATATATAGCGATATATACAGACTTGGAAAAACATTTCCTGTAATCCAGATTCAGGTTGTCATACGCATTTGATACCTAAATTTTGTGTGTTCTGTTGTGCACGACATTATCACTCATTCTGTGGCGGCTACCCGCCGCCGTTGGAATGTCGGACGACCGGTTCTTGGTTTTTCTTCAAATTATGTATGGTCTTTGCCTTGGTAGGCGTTTGGTTTGACTGAAAAGAGCATGCCAACCAAACAACCTCGGATCCCTTTTTATTAGTAGAATTCAAGAAGGATTAAACAAGAGACTTCTAATTAAATTTCTTTGTGTTCTGTTTGGTAATACTCTTCTTCTCCGGTGATTTTTTTGTGTATTCTATTTCGCAATAATCTTTTTTTTTTTTTTTTTTTATGGTCTTTTGTCTAATTACAAATTTTCCCATCAGTTAATTCTTTGCTCATGTGTAGTAACTTGGTGCGAAGGGTTCGATCGAGAGATTGAAACTCATGACATTCTAGTACGAGAGTCATACTCCACTTACTCGATTATTCGTTTTGAGGCTTCGACTATTCGTTTTGTGGCTTTTCCGATGACTTTTTTTCCCTAATGGTGGTAGTTTCATCTTCTCAAATATAGAAGGATAAAATATTTTTAGATATTTTAAATTAGACTAGTCAAATATCACGTATTGTGTAAAGAAATAAATGTCTAATGAGAAAATATTATACAATTATAAAGAGATGAAATAATAGAAATAATTAATACACCAACAATAAATTAAATAATTTTTTTTAGTACTACGGACTATGTTACAATGTAGTGGGTTCAAACCCATGACCTCCCAAATAGGTGATACACTTCGTGTCACTAGACCACAAAATCCTTGGCATAAACTAAATCATTTTAAGTATATAAAAAAGTCAAATTATTACATTTAAGGATATTAATTAATGAGCTCGGATGGAAAAGAAAAGAGAAGGATCAAATTTTTAAAATTATATATATAAACAAAAAAGTTAAAATAATGGACAATCTATCATTATAAAAAGATGAAATAATAGAAATAATTAATACACCAATAAATTAAATCATTTTTGTTAGTACTATAGACTTTGTTACAATGTAATGTGCTCAAACCCATGACCTCCCTAATAGGAGAGTCATTTCGTGCCACTAGACCATAACGTCCTTGACATAAACTAAATCATTTTAAGTATATAAAGAAAAAGTAAAATTGTTACATTTGAGGATATTAATTAATGAGTTCGGATGGAAAAAAAAGAGAAGGATCAAATTTTTAAAATTATATATATATATATATATATATATAAACAAAAAAGTTAAAATAATGGACAATCTTCTCCCAAATAACTGATCAACACATTTTTTAAAAGTTTTATTAGAAACTAGTCAACTACTATTATCGATTTGTATAATTTTATATATATTATACGGAGTAATATTTTAAGATATTTAATAATCGTAAAATGCTAAATATATTAAAATTAGTCCATAGTCTCATATACTGGCAGACTATTTCGAAAAAAAAAAAAAAAAAAAAGTGAAATGAACTGAAAACAAAAAGAGGAGAAATTTTCTACGGGGATAAAAGAGTAATTTGGGGTTTGAGGCGTGCAGCCCACAGAGGATGGAAACCCAGGATCATACTGTTTCTAGCGCCACCACCGCTGGCGACTCCTCCGGCAGCCACCGCGGGTCTCCGCTGAGAGTCGACTGGCCTACCGTTGACGGCCCGCTGGGGCTGTCGGAGCAGGACTCAATTGGATACGCCCGTAGGTTCTTCAAGTTCGGATTTTTGCTACTCCCATGGCTTTGGGCCGTCAATTGCTTCTACTTCTGGCCTGTCCTTCGCCGCCCCACTTCTCACTTCAATCCAGATCTCCGTCGCTGTGAGTTCCCGGAAACCATACAGTAATCTCTAATTTTGTTGGTGTACTCATTCGTATGCATATAATTTAGAAATTTGAAGAATTTTTTCGATCAATCTCTGAAGCATGCTTTCTGATTTTTCAATTTTTAATTGTTCATATTGTGGGGGAGATTTGTGAGTAACTGAACAAGTGCTTCTCCTGCTGTTCAATCCTGGATAGCAATGGGTCATTTGATCCTTCAAATGAGCAAAATAATGAAATTTAGTTAGTTATCAGTGCCAATAATCTGGGACTGGTATACATTGTATGATGCATATGAGGTATTGAATATTGATATGGAGGATTTTAAGGGGTTTCACCATGTGAAATACAAAATTACAAACCCATAGAAATATTGATAACTGGATTACTATGACTGTAAGAAGGTATAGATTGAGGAAACTAAGTGGTGGAAGTTGAGAACTGCTTTTTGGGTGACAGGAAACCCGCAGCCATTACCCGAGAGTGAGCATTGGGTAAACCCGTCATTGTGACCATAGCTGGCAAAGAACCACAAGGAGGTAAACTAGCTTTGGACCAAAACAGCTAATAGGTCACTCCCACTGGGAGTCGAGCTTGGAACCATATGTGGTTACCAAGCCTGTAGCCTGACCAACTTGGCTGGGGTGGCCCCTTATAGCTCCTGTTTTGGATGTATAACATAAGAATCTGTATTTCAGATTTTCGATGTGCATTTCTGTTAGGCTGTTAGCACTTGGCACGAATCAGAGGAAGGCTTGTTTAGTGATGCACATAACAATGAATTTCCTCATTCCACATTATCATGTTATGAAATAGTTACCAAGTTGTGCACATCGAGCCATTCTCAGAATTCTAGCTTATAAGATGGTATCAAAAGTCTGAAATTTTGATGGGGAACATGCAAGATGAGCATCCTTTACTGGCCTACAGGCATGAATTCCTAGTAAGCTGAACAAAGTGCCAAGATATCAAGGATCTTATATACATCAGGGAATAAACTAGTTTGATATTCAAAGATAGATCTTGTCTCCACAATGCTTCAGAAATGAGTTATGACTATGCCCAAGTATTAGCATTAGGATTACTAGAGGCACTGAAACGCTTATTTGTCCTCTGCTTTTGATTATTACCCTCTTGTAAAGCTATCCTGTTTGGAGTGTTTGCCCAATATTTTGAAGTGCGTGCAAAGTGCTGACTCAGGGATAGTTTAGAACTGTTTTCGCTATTTAGGAATTTCTGCAATTACACTTTCTGTGTTTGTGCTGCTTACTGATAAACGTTTCTTGTATTTAAAGAAAGGAATAGAATCGTCTAGTAATTTACATTTTTGTTGTTTCATATGTTGATTTCGAATCTTCCTTCTCCAGATGTAGTTGGATCAGCTATCGGATTCACAGTGTTCACCGCTATTCTTGGTTCATGGGCTATTACCTTTGCTGTCGGAGGAGAGCATCTATTCGGGAATGTTTGGAATGAGCTGGTAATGTACAATGTCGCTGAAAAATATGGATTGACGGGCTGGATGTAAATACTGCACTTGCGTCTAAACTACGTGATTGGAGTCTCGCTTACTTTCCCAGATCGAGACTATAACTGTTTAGTTGTTTTGGCATCTGCTTAATTTTGCTTTTTTCAACATGGGAAAATTGTGTTCATCGGCTGTATTCATGAATCATGATCCCTACCCACTTGCCTCAGTTTTTGTTTAAGCTTCAGATGAATTCTCATTCTCTTGTGTTTTGCTATAAATAGTTTATCATTATACTCATTGTTCTCTACTAAGAACAAAGAAAGCAAATAATTATGGGAGGATGATTGTGATTTCAACCTCTCTGGATCCCATTCCCTCAAGTGAGGAAATAATGTAATTAAGGGTGTGTTTGGAAACCAGAAAAATAACTTCTAGAAAATGTGTCATTTTTCATAAAATATTTTCATTTTTCGTGTTTGGTTGCATTTTCTGTTGACTTCAAAATTATTTTTCGGGTTTCCAAACACACCCTAAGTAAAAATAAAGGGAAATCTACCTTTCTTTTTCCAATCTCGAAAAATATCTACCACTAATCATGTCTTATATGAAATAGTTTTACATAAAATAAAATTAATAAACGTTGTTGTTATATACTATGATGATGATGTTTTGGAGTTGTAATGTGATGGGAGATAAAAATATTAATAATATTGGAGTTGAATATTGGATGCTTTATAGAAATGGACAATGGTGAAGGTGGAAAGTGGATTAGGTATGAAATTCAGCCTAATTTGCATGAATGGCACTTGTGTTCCTCAATACGCGGCGGTAAAGAGTTCAATTAGACTAAAGAATAAGATGAACCTGATGTCACCTTTGTAACTAACACATCTTTGTCTGCTCATGATTTTCCATTTGTTTCTTGGGGCTAAAATTTTCGGCTTTGCCGCATCGAATCACCCCATTTTACACCATCCCATCCCATAATTCTAAAATAAATAAATAAATTCCAAATCCAGCTTTTGCATATGACCTAACCAATTATAGATAGATCATTTCATCTTCCTTCCTCAATAGAAATAGATTATCGAGAAAGAAAAAACCTTTTTTTTTTATCTTTCTTGATTATTCCTTTGTTCGTTCATCTGATATCTGAGATTACTCATAATGGACAAGGAACAAGACGAGATTCAGTTTCTTGGGTTCTTGGACATATTCAAAGAATCATTGGGCGTGGTTTCAGCAATGAAGAAGATTTTCTTTCAGATAACAGTGGTCATGATCATCCCTCTCTCCTTCATTTACCTAGCACATATTGAGATCTCTGATATCATCTTCACCGACATCCTCCGTGATGAATATATTCTGGACAGGATCCAAGAGGGCACCCAGACGTACGACAAGATCTCTGATGTCCTTACCTCTGAATGGACCGCCTTCTGGTTCTTCAAGATAGCCTACTTCATCTTCTTCCTCGTCCTTGCCCTCCTCTCCACCTCCGCGGTTGTCTACACCATTGCCTGCATCTACACCTCCAAGGAAATTTCCTTCAAGAAGATCATGTCTGTTGTCCCTAAGGTCTGGAAACGCCTCATGGTAACTTTCCTCTGGAGTTTTCTCATTCTTTTTGCTTACAACATCCTCACTATTACCATTCTAATTCTCTGGCTCATAATGATGGGGCCTAGAGGATTTGGATTGTTTGGTGCTGTACTTCTAATGCTAATGTACATGGCCGGGTTTGTGTATATCACGGTTATATATCATCTGGCCAGTGTGGTGTCTGTGCTTGAAGATGTGCATGGCCTGGACGCCATCATCAAGAGCAAGGGCCTCATCAAGGGTAAACTGGGTATATCCGCCCTCATTTTCCTGCTTTTGAACACGATTTTCATTGGAATTCAGACAGGGTTTGAGTACTTTGTGGTGCTTGGCTATGGAGGTGGATTTACAGGGAGTGTATGGTATGCAATTTTGTTTGTGTTGTTGTTGGCAATTTTGATGCTCTATGGACTCACCATCCAGACTATCATCTACCTCATCTGCAAGTCATATCACCATGAGAATATTGACAAGTCCTCATTGGCAGATCATCTAGAAGATTACGATGGAGAATATGTTCCTTTGAAGTCTAAGGATGTACAACTTGAGGCATTTGATGTTTAACATGCAATTTCTCTGTGGCTCTTTCTTGCTATTTTAGTCAAATGTCAAAGAAATTACTCATGTACCTTCATATATAAGGAGGATATATATATTATATAGATATAGATATATAAAATATTTGCAGAAATATATGATTAATGGAGGAGAGTAGTAGTATAGTGTTATACAATCTAACCTGAACTCTGTTCAGAGAGAATGTATGTGCTTGATTTTCTCTATTGCTTGCTTTATTTTGGTAGATGGTTCTTCATATAAGAAAGAAAGATCATCCAACATTGTAGCCAAGCTTGGTTCCCCAAGAAAAGCACGAAATGAGTCTGCCACCGAATGGGAAAGAGAGTCGAGATTGTATCCTCCTTCCAAGAAAAAAACGCAACGTCCCCCACACAGATCTTTCGCAAGTTGCTTAATGTTGGAAGCGAGCATGTAATATGTTCCTGTTGTAAATTGCAGATGGGCTAGGGGATCCAACATGTGTGCATCATATCTGTATGTAACATATATATGATTAGTATTAGTATTATTATTATTATTATAAAATTATTCTACTATTGTGAATAACCAGTTTTTGCTTAAAAGACAAGAAATATATATATATATATATATATATATATATATATATATATATATATATATATATATATATATATATATATATATATATATATATATTAGCTTAATGACAGTTCAAAAAAAAAAATCAACAAAATATGAAGATCATAATCCACAGTTTTCATGAGTCAGTCTCTTTGCAGATAGGCATAATAATAATAATAATGTATAGTTTAACAGGGAAGAGCATTACCCTGCTGAGACAAGGATTATGTCTGGTTTGAACCTTTGTGCACATGGTGCAATAACATCATCAAACACCTTTCGCATGGCTGTATCACCCGATCCTCCCGGTAAAGGTAGATTTAATGTTGATCCTTCACCTTGCCCAGCACCAATCTGCTCTATCTTTCCTGTACCAGGGTAACTTCCATCCTATATACCAATAAAAAGGAAGTGGATAATTTAGTAAATCCATAGGGAACCACAAAGTTCAATTACATCTCTGTTTGAGCCTGTTTAGAATTTGTGAATCATAGGATGACTCCCTGGGTATGTCTAAATGTTTAAGAAACCTGAGGTTCAACAAGTAAAACTTTATTCGAAAAACTGAATGAATTTCTATGGTTTAGAAACTGTGAATCATTTGATTTCCTTCCACAATTTCAATTTTCAAGCTGGATGAGTTTCAACTGTTTCTTGTGTTACCTATACATGAAAATAAAATATACAGAGCAAAATCAGACTCAAACAAAAGTGAGAGAGGGAAAAGGTTGCAGACTGACCTTGGGGAGTGGGACATATAATTGTAAATGAATTTAAAGCAATGAGGAAAGCATGAGATCCAAAGAGGCAGCAAATTAGAGAAAAATGCTTTTGGATGTTTAACTATAAAGATTTAGAGGTAGGTAAGTTACAAAAATGTTTGTTTGTTAGTTGTTACTTACCTGGTGAGTTGAAAGAAAAAATACATCTGGATCCTCATAGAAGGCATCATTGGTTCCATTTCCATGATGAACATCGAAGTCAATGATAAAAACACGCTTGAGCCCATGCACACGCTGAGCATAGCGTGCTGCAATGGCAATATTTCCAAACACGCAAAATCCCATGGCCCCCTTGGGAATAGCATGATGCCCTGGGGGCCGTATGAGTGCAAAACCGATGGGAGGGTCCTGACTGACTCTCGATGCAGCTACCTGAAATTTCAGAGGAGGTTATGAAAAAAGTTCCTGGAGGATTGTGCCATCAAAATATTGAAAGAGGTAGGAGTTACAAATTACTCCATGCTAAAAATCAAACCATACAAAAGCATCCTAAAATTAGAAACAACTAAGTAACAGAGCTTCCAATCACTTTAAATAGTCCTTTGAGCAGCTTAAAATAGGAAAGGAGTGAGCATTCATCAGTAAGGCAAGTAACATCGCCATCTTATATTTAGACATTACCACTGAATCAAGCACAGAAATACCAGCTCCAGCTGCCATTAAGGACTCTTGGAATGTCTGCATCCGAATCAAAGAGAAAAAGTAAGATAATACTTTATTTGACAATATTGCTAGAAATAACAGCAAAGGAAAAAAAAAAAAAAAAAAAAAAAAAAAAAAAGAGTTAATTCAACCATTCACTTATTCATAAATAACTCAATCGAAGTTGCTCTTGATTTAGTAGGTTTGGTAGAAGGAGTTCTGATAAGCTGACAGCCTATGTGAAGTTTTATCATATGGATCATTTAGAGAGAAAGAGAGTCCATGTAGAAGCAACCAGCTGCTAGATCAATTATCAATGAATTTGTTAAATGCATCCATTATTTAAAAATACGAAGAATAACTTATAATCTAAACCTCTACCCCACCCGCAAAAGCAAGTGTATATATAAGATTATAAGCACAAGTATTAGCATGCCACCATACACTAAGAGGGGATGCCACATGTTATAATTAGGAAAATGGAGATATATAGATATATATATAAAATAAGCAAATTGTTACTGTTGAAGTGGCATAAGTTGGTCCAGATCCATCAATAAAAATTAGACCTTCCTCTGAAGCTTGATCCATAGCCTGAAAAATATATATAAATGAGAAAATTGAGAGTAAAGGTAGTAGAGGCCATAATGCCATATCTAGCATGGTAAACTAAGAATTGACAAAGAGCTTATGATTCATAGTTGAAATGATAAATACCAATGGTGGATAAAAGTTACCTTCTCAAGGCCTGAGACATAGGCTTTGGCATGAACACTTGTTATGTCATCTATTGTAGCAGGTCTAAATGTTTGCAGTTCAATGATATCAGAACCTCGGTGCTGAAGCACAATGTAGTAGTTTGATTACATGAAACCTTAAAAAGTAATACTTGATATTAAACATGCATTTGCATAGACATCAAACCAAACAAGGAGCATCTGTTTTTAAGACATGGATACAAATTTTGAAGAGTGCATAATTTTAAGAGAAAAGCAAGCACAAATAGGAAATGAAAAAGCAAATAGACACAATATTTGAGAGTCAGAAATAAAACTTCATCATTTGTATCATACCTTTGAAGTCAACTCCATCTTCTCCAGAGCATTCAGAATTGCAGGAACTCTGGAGTTGCATTCTGGATGCGATTCCTGATCAAATAGATTTGGATCTAGATTGAGAAACATTTTAATATCATATACCTAGATTCTAGGGGAAGGTAAATATTAGTTCGTTTCAATTCTGGGATTCTGGTCTTCATGTTATACCTTATTGTGACCCAAGGCAGGAGCAGCAGCATAAATCACCTTTGCACCGCTTCCAATAGTTTGGGGTGGAGAGCTGCCATCACTCTCCGGTTTATTCAAACAATTAATGCGGCCTCTCACACTCCCTAAGGTATATCCTTTTTCCAGTTTGGCATTCAGTAGGATACTTATGTTCCTAATACCAGACCTATATCTATAGTTTTTCTCCCAAAGGTAAACACGACGATGTACCCAAGAAAGCACATTACCTGGCAAAAGAAATTAACAGGCCAAATAAGTTTTGCATTTGATTTGTCATACAAGATTATTGAACACCCGGCTATACCAATTAAACAAGTTCTCCACTTGTCTTCTTAACTTCAACATCATTAGGAAAAACTACGAAATCGAAATCAAAACACTAACAAATGAAAAGGACTCTTCATCGGATAAGTGAATAATGAATTAAAATGCTAACATAGGTGTATAAATTCTACTGCAAATGCTCCCTTGCTCTGTAATTTGAATCAAACAATAAATTCAAACATTTCAGCAACCAGGTTTTGACAACGAAAACAGAAAAAGCCGCAGATAATCGATATATACCAAACTTACATATCCATAACTGTCCACCACATGATAAATAAACAGGAAAATAAAATGTAATACAAACATATATAAACACAAACACACAAGCAGAGTGAGACTGATTGAGAGCTAAAGAGAGGGAGAGATTAGTCTGTACAAGCAGACGAAGCAGAACATATAACGTGGAGCTCCATAACTGCGAGCTCGTTTTCGACGCTGTTGTCTATATACGCAGCGAACTCTTTTGAGTAGATAATTGCTTAGATATTTTCTGCTGTGAAAATGGCCCATATCGGGTCATGGGGCAAATTGTAAGTAGTGTGGTCGTAATTATCATTCTAATTATATTTTAGGGCTCATTTAACAATATTGTTTTGTTTTTTGATTTTATTTTTTACACACACTAATTTCATTAGAGTAATATTAAAGTATTATTTTAATTTTATTACAATTTCATTTGACACACTAGTTTCATTTTTTACACATACTAGTTTAATGTTAAAGTATTATTTTAATTACACTACACGTTCATTTGACAATATATGTTATTGTAGCAAATGTGCCACTAAACTTGTACACATTGTGCAATTGAACCATCGAACAAAAAAGTTGGCAATTCGACCATTAAAAATTCAAAAACTATGCAAATAACATTTTTACAAATTACTTACATGTTTCTCTTAATATGATGTCATAATGTCAAATTATATATGACTGTTTTAAAATTATTATTTTTAAAAATTAATATATATATATATATATATATATATATATATATATATATATATATATATAAAGAAGTAGTTTTAAAAAAATTAGAAGAAAGTTGAGGCAGCCATGGTTGCGTTCGTCCGATCTTGTGTTATGGAAAAATAAGCCATATTTATAATGACTAAGTAGTAGGGTAAGCAGTCCTAGTGGCAAGGCTACATAGTCCTCCCTCATGTCATAAGCGTCTCTCACAAAAACAAAAACAACGTCTAAGACCATCATCGGACTAGCGTCGAGGCCAGTTCGATCCGATCGATCTTGCTTGGGAGTAGGGGCTATGACGGGATGTTTTGTGAGTCCAACACTTTTTACTCCCTAAGCTAGATGACTCTATTGTGCTTGCAGCTCGAGAGTATGGGCTAGTGACAGAATAAATGAGCGTGGTATTGGATTAGACCGAAGTTTAACATGAATGAGTCAAAAGACAATCATATCAATTAGTAATGGTGAAGAGTAAATAGGAGGTGGAATGGTGCACTTAATTAAGGTAGAGTTCAACACACTTATTAGGGCATTCGACCCATAAAGAAGCAGAATGTATGAATAGGAGCGCACATCAATTAGTAAGGAGTCGCGACACTTAGTGAGGAAAAGCTGTTGCACTTATTTGGAGGCCGTTGTGTCAATTAATATTGTAACCATTACTACAAGTATAAAAACTAACTATATATAATAATGAGGAGAGACACGCTTAAAATATTATACTATAAATATAACAATATGAAATATTAATTTCTAAATATACTCCGATAACGTTATTACAGTCAACACAAAACGTACAAACAAATCCCTAAGAATGACAAATTGACATGTAACGTATAAATGATTTGAATGAGGGGACATTGCATTCGTAATGTTTTCCTAATTTGCAAGTATAGACTATCGAGTATATAGTAATAAATAATAAATTCAATGAAAGCGTAAAAAAAATTATGCTCCAAATATTTCCTTTTACCCGCTTCTATTTCCACACTGCACCCACCACTCGTATCCAGACACGTGTCTGTAGAAACCAACGTGGCCACCATCTCCACGACCCTATATATATGGAGATTTCGTTGCATGCATTTCTCTCGCTCCTGTCCCGTGTTCGTTTTCAGACAAAAAAAACCTTGACTGTTTGACCATGGCGATGAGCGCTTTCAGTGGCATTTCCGTAATTCTAACATTTCTTCTCCTCGCCGTATCCGCAGCGAGCGCTCAGGGGGAGGACGAACAGAAGGAGCACGTCTTGACGTTGGACCACACGAACTTCACCGTGTTGTGTCGTTAGTGATGTGCGATTGCCAGCCAAACCAGTGGACTGAAACGTTGCTGCACTTCTTGATTCGCTTGTGATGTGCGAAAAGCAATCAAAGTCACTGGACACAAATGATGATGCAATGATGATGCAATGATGATGCAATGATGCTTTGTTTGTGACGTGGGAAAGCCAACCAAAAGCTACTGGACTCAATTGATGGTGGATGACGCAAGCTCTGCTACTAATTCGAACAAAACTGCTTCTGCTTTGAACAAGTTAATTTCGAACACTGATGGATGTAGTGTGTATTATTTGGATTATATCTGTGTCGTGTATGTTATACACTTCCTTAAAAGCATTTGCGACCAGGATATCGCTGCTTTCGACAGGAAACACAGAATCGCTTGGAACATGTGGTTCCGAAATATCTCAGGTAACATGAAGGTTCAGTTCATCTTTGATGTAATGAAACAGTGGGTTTATATACTAGTTGTATGAAACCACTCCTCCATTACAAGCCAAAAACTTCCTACAAAGAGGGAGAGCAAGGGAAGGAACTCCACACATTGTCTATCACATGTTCACTTCTCAGTGCATGGTGTGCGGACAAGGTGGTCAAAATTCCTTAAAATTAGGAGTTAAAATAAAAGTGCGGACCAAAATTTGACCCCACCACACCGTGCGGGCAGCGCGGGATCTCCCCTTGTTCCCTCTTCATAATACTTCAAGCTTTTTAAAATAAGTGGTAATTTAAATAGTGGGAGATAGAAAGGTAGATAAGCAATGTGGGACAAAACCTACTCTTTAAATGTCCCCAACAATCCCCCACACATTTAAAGTGGTAATTCAACACCGTACCAACCTGAGTGTACATCCGAGTTAATTTCCATATCAGTGTATAAGACTTGAACTGACATGTAGTGGAGCCAAGTAACTCTTTTCCCGAGAGTGAATAAGATCTTGAACTCATCGGTCAGTCGAGATTTGAACTTAGTTGCACTCATTAACTTTGTACCAGTCCCTGTCTCGTCTATTTCTACATGTAGACATTTTAATCTGTCAAGTCTATCTCTGCATAGACTACCTGTAACAGGCTACAGATTTGTCACTGGTTTTTTCCCAGCTTTGTAAGTCTTTCCGTGATCTCATATGCCCATCATATGTGGTGCATCACGAATTTCTTACCACATTGGGTTTCAAACCCATTTCCCTTGACGTATCAAGGACGGTCTTACGATTTAAACCTTTCGTGAAGGGGTCTGCTATATTCTTTTCAGATCTCACAAATTCCATTGTGATTACCCCATTCAACATTAACTGCCTCACAGACTCATGTCTGACTCGTATGTGTCTTCTTTTGCCATTATAGACACTGTTTTGCGCAACACAGATGGCAGTTTGTGAGTCACAGTGTATTGGAACTGCAGGTGCCGGACACCCCCACAGTGGCACGTCTGCCAGTAGGTTTCTCAGCCACTCTGCTTCCTGGCTTGCCAGATCTAAAGCTATAAATTCAGCTTCCATCGTTGATCTGGCAATGCACGATTGTTTTGATGACTTCCATGAGACAGCGGCTCCACACATAGTGAATACATATCCACTTGTTGAGCTTGCATCATCGCCACCATTTACCCAGTTCGCATCGCAATACCCCTCTAACACAGCTGGAGACCCTTTATAGTCTAGACCCCAGTCTACTGTGCCTCTTAGGTATCTCAGTACCCGTTTTAGTGCATCCCAATGTAAGTTACTCGGGTTGTGGGTATAGCGACTGAGTTTATTTACTGTGTATGCAATGTCGGGTCTAGTGTAGTTCATGAGGAACATCAGACTACCGATTATTTTTGCATACTCTTCTTGCGACACACTATTCTCTATGTTTTTTGACAATTTTACACTGGGATCGTAGGGGGTCTTGGCTGGAGTTACATCATAACTCCCAAACTTCTTTAGAAGTTTCTCCGTATAATGACCTTGAGATAAGAGGTAACCCTCCTTGGTTTTTGTGACTTTTATCCCAAGTATCACATCTGCCTCCCCTAGATCTTTCATGTCAAACTTTTCACATAGATTCCTTTTCGTGTCTTTTATAGTCTCAATGTTAGGACTAAAGATTAACATGTCATCTACATAGAGACATATGATCACAATGCTAGACTTGCTCTCTTTAGTATATAAGCAGGCATCTGACCGGTTAGTAGTATAACCCAGGTCTAATAAGGTTTTATGAAATTTTTCATACCACTACTTGGGGGCTTGTTTCAAGCCATACAGAGATCTCTTGAGTCTGCATACTTTCCCCTCTTGACCAGGATCTACGCATCCGGGAGGTTGTTCCATATAAATTTCTTCTTCGAGTTCACCATTGAGAAACGCAGTTTTCACATCCATCTGGTGAACCAACAACCTGTGTAGAGATGCCAAAGCAAATAGAACACGAATAGTTGCTATTTTAGTTACCGGTGAGTAAGTAAAGAAATAGTCCTCACCGAATTTCTGTGTGTAGCCTTTTGCCACTAGTCTGGCTTTAAACCTTTCAATTGGGCCATCTGGTCTCAATTTCCTTTTAAAGATCCATTTGCAACCGATAGGTTTGCAACCTCTTGGTAGATTCACTAACTCCCAAGTGTGATTAGACTGTATGGAGTCTAATTCATTTTTGACAGCCTCTTTCCATAATGTGGAATCTACTGAGCGCATAGCTTCTTGAAAGGTTTTTGGTTCTTCCTCTAGGACCAATTGACATATGAACTGATCACAAATCTCATTTATGTCTTTCAATTCTGTTAAGTATGTTATGAACTCAGAACCAAAATTTTTCTCTATTCTAGTTCTTTTACTCCTTCTTGGTTCCTCAGTAGTGTTTGAGAAACTCGGAAAAGAGTCCGTAGAATTCTGTTGAAGGCTAACATCAGATGAGGGATAAGGTGTTTTCATAGGAAAAACAGATTCAAAGAAAATAGCATCTCTAGCTTCACACATTGTACGATTTTCTAAGTACATGAATCTATATGCAGCACTGTTCTCAGCATACCCAACAAAGATGGCATCCGTCGTTTTAGGTCCCAAGTTGGGCCTTTTGAAGGACGGTAGTCCTACTTTTGCTAAGCAGCCCCATACTCTTAGGTAACTAAGGTTTGGGGCATGCCCCTTCCAAAGTTCATAGGGTGTTTTATCAAACCCTTTGTGCGGTACTCTATTTAGAATGTGGTTTGCTGTTATAGCAGCTTCCCCCCACAAAGAGTCCGGAGCACCTGAACTGATTAGCATTGCATTAATCATCTCTTTGAGAGTTCGGTTTTTTCTCTCAGCAATGCCATTTTGTTGGGGAGTGTACGGTGCAGTAACTTCATGTATAATGCCAGAACTTTCACATAGTGTTTTAAGAGAATTTGATTCATATTCTCCCCCTCTATCAGAACGAAGCCTTTTTATCTTTTTGTCTAATTGGTTTTCTACTTCATTTTTAAAAACCACAAATTTCTGTTCAGCTTCGTCTTTTGATCTTAATAGATAAAGTTTTGTGAAACGCGAAAAATCATCAATGAACGTAATGTAGTAACGTTTTCCACCTTTACTTTCAGTGGTTTTGAAATCGGCTAAATCCGAGTGAATCAGTTCTAAAATTGATGTTTTTCTGTTACATACTGTTGAGAATGAACTTCTAGCAAATTTTGATTCAACGCAAATTTCACATTGTGTGCATGCTTCACTTGACAATTTTGGCAACAAATTCATGCTTTTTAGCCTGTTTAAACATTTGGTGCCAACGTGTCCTAATCTATCATGCCAAAGATTTAAAGAAACAACTATATAAGCAGAAGAAGAAGCTTTATTATTGGCAACATTGTCTGAAATGAAATCACATTTAGTAGAGCCTACTCTAGCAACTTGATTTTTAGCTACAGAAGCATCTAACACAAAAAGGCCAGCACGAAAATATCCCTTTCCCAGGTATTTCCCACAGTGAGTCAGAACCAAACGGTCAGACTCGAAAACCATTTTTATTCCAGCCTTATTCAATAGGCCTCCGGAAATAAGGTTTCTACGCAGGGAAGGGACATATAGCACATTTTGCAATAACAGAAGCTTTCCAGAATAAAGCATTAACTCAATTTTCCCTCTACCACTTACCTTAGCGATACTGGAGTTCCCCATAAAGACTTGTTCATCTCCGGTGTTGATCTCGAGTACCTTGAACAGATCCTTGTTGTTGCAGAAATGACGAGATGCTCCCGTGTCCACAACCCACTCATCTGGATCTCCTACCATGTTTGCTTCAGTTATTACAGCTGCTACCATTTCGGTACCTTCTGGATTTTCCACCATGTTAGCTTGGTGTTGTTGTCCTTCATTACTTGGCTTTTGACCAGTTTGGTTTGTTGAGCCTTTCCTATGATAGCAGTATTTGGCTTTGTGCCCACGTTTTCCACAAACGTAACATTCTGGGTTGTTCTTCCCTTTTTTCTGAATTTTACCGTTTTTGACACGGTTATTATTGTTTGGTTTTGAGCCTTTCTTTTGGTTTCTGGAACCTTCCCCAGGCTTTGACCTGTTAGAACTTCCACCCATTTCAACTACATTAGCATTAATATTGTCAGAAAAATTACCAGATTTTTGAACCAGGCGATTTTCTTCCTCTATATTAATAGTGTGGATTAGCTGCTGCAGGGTGTGATTCTTGAGCTCATGTTTCGACTTGTTCTTGAAGTCCAGCCATGAGTCAGGTAGCTTATCAACCAAAGCGTCGGTCAAAAATGCATCATTAACCAAAGCCCCTTCTGATGTCATATCAGCCACCAAGTTTTCAAAGTCGTGTACCTGTTCTGTAATCGGCTTGGCATCCGTCATTCTGAAGTGTAGCCAGCGATTTACCGCATACTTTCGTCTTCCAACGTCATCAACGCCATATTTTTCTTTCATCATCCCCCAGATCAGTTTTGCAGATTTATGCACTGAAAACATATCAAAAAGAGGATTACTCACCCGTTGGAGAATTAATGCGCGTGCAGTTTTGTTGTCCTTCTCGTATTTTGTACGAGACGCTTGTAGGGTCGTGGACGACTGCACTGGAGTCGACTTTGCAGCAGTTGAGTCTGCTGAAGTGGCCTGCGTTTCCGTGGTTGTAACAGTTTTCTCAGTGGACTGCACAGTAACCTCAGCAGGCTTCTCTGGATCTTCTAAAAGTACATAGTCCACATCTTTGGACTCCAGAAGCATCAATACCTTACCAGCCCATCTCTTGTAGTTTAAACCCCCCGTGAGAGTTTCAATGGGAGCAACATCAGAGTTGTTGTTCGTGGATTGCGACATACCTGAACAAGCGCTTTTAACTGTTGTGTCGTTAGTGATGTGCGATTGCCAGCCAAACCAGTGGACTGAAACGTTGCTGCACTTCTTGATTCGCTTGTGATGTGCGAAAAGCAATCAAAGTCACTGGACACAAATGATGATGCAATGATGATGCAATGATGATGCAATGATGCTTTGTTTGTGACGTGGGAAAGCCAACCAAAAGCTACTGGACTCAATTGATGGTGGATGACGCAAGCTCTGCTACTAATTCGAACAAAACTGCTTCTGCTTTGAACAAGTTAATTTCGAACACTGATGGATGTAGTGTGTATTATTTGGATTATATCTGTGTCGTGTATGTTATACACTTCCTTAAAAGCATTTGCGACCAGGATATCGCTGCTTTCGACAGGAAACACAGAATCGCTTGGAACATGTGGTTCCGAAATATCTCAGGTAACATGAAGGTTCAGTTCATCTTTGATGTAATGAAACAGTGGGTTTATATACTAGTTGTATGAAACCACTCCTCCATTACAAGCCAAAAACTTCCTACAAAGAGGGAGAGCAAGGGAAGGAACTCCACACATTGTCTATCACATGTTCACTTCTCAGTGCATGGTGTGCGGACAAGGTGGTCAAAATTCCTTAAAATTAGGAGTTAAAATAAAAGTGCGGACCAAAATTTGACCCCACCACACCGTGCGGGCAGCGCGGGATCTCCCCTTGTTCCCTCTTCATAATACTTCAAGCTTTTTAAAATAAGTGGTAATTTAAATAGTGGGAGATAGAAAGGTAGATAAGCAATGTGGGACAAAACCTACTCTTTAAATGTCCCCAACACACCGAAACTGTGTCTAAGCACAAATTCATCGTCGTCGAATTCTATGCTCCCTGGTATATATATATATATATCTTCCATACACCTTTACTTACAGTCATTGCTCTGGCTTTGCATCTTTGATTTTTATTTCTCTAGAATCGATGCTATTTGTTTTTCCTTTTGACTTGATTTTGATCGATCTCTGCTCGCTTGTTCTTTGTTTGTGTTAAGAAATTGGATTTTATTGGTATAATGGGATGGGGGGTTCAGGTCGTTTTGATTTGACGTCTGAATCATAGACTGATTTTTTGTTTTTCATAGTAAATAAAAATATTGGAGATCAGTTTATATGTAAAATGAAATGTGCGTGTACGTATAGATACTCGTGTATCAGTGTATGTCGATCTTTGTGTGTATCTATCTCATGAGAGATATGGCGGGCATTGCATCAAGGTGATTCTAAACGTAAAAACAGTGGCGGTTACTAAATTTAATGTGGCATTTACTTCATTCTATATGCGTAGTTGCGTACCATAATTAAGTACAAATTTTTTAAAAAAAAAAGGTTATGTAACTAACATATTTAATTTTGATTATATACTTTCTATTGATGATTATGAAAATATGATAACTTGGGAGATTGATCATAGTAAAAATATAATTTTAAATCCCATTCTTTTAAATCAATATCATGTTGATTAAATCCCATACACCTAGCTACTAAATTTACTCATTAAAACCAAATATTTTTTGCTTGATGTTTCGCATGTTCCTATCAATTCTATATGAGCTCAAACTTAAAAGCCTGCCCACACAAGTAACAATATTGAATACATGCTCAATATTATATAGGCATTTCCTGAAAGTTAATTGATTAAGCCATAATAACATGAATGTAAGCAATGTTACAGAGTGACTGGTAGTTGATTACTATGTGGAGTATATTTACATATATGTTTGTGTTTGTTTGATAAAACTTGCCTAAACCTTAAGGTTTATGTATAATGTATGGATTGCCAAAATTTGTTTAGTGCCTCTCTGGATATTACTCCACAGAGTTATTAGAAAATAATCTCTGTGTTTCTTTTCCTTGTCTAAAGATATGATACCCTGCTCTTGTAATAGGTGTGGACACTGCCAGAGACTTGCTCCAGAGGTGATTATTGTGTTAACTCAGTCCATAAAGAGAAGAGGACTTAATCTTTGCTTTCGTTACTTCTTTAGCTTATCCTGTCTTTCAAATGTAAAACAAACTTATTATTTATATTTTGCATGTAGTATGAAAAAGCAGCCTCCTTGTTGAGCAGTCATGACCCTCCCATAACACTTGCAAAAATTGATGTGAGTGATAAAGTAAACAGCGAAATTGCTACCAAATTTAAGATCCAGGGTTTCCCAACCATTAAGATCTTACGCAGTGGAGGAAATGCTATTCAAGAATACAAAGGTCCTCGTGAGGCAGATGGTATAGTTACTTATTTGAAAAAACAAACTGGTCCCTCGTCAGCTGAAATCAAGTCAAGGGAAGATTCTGCAAAGCTTATAGATGAGAAAAGACTCTTTGTTGTAAGTTCTGTAGTTGACACTTCTGTCTTGCATCCTTAATTAAAGCGATGGAGTTTCTTTCATAGTTTCCACTCAAGAGTTCGCTGATCTGAATTGTGTATTCTACTTCTAGGTTGGTGTGTTTCCAGTATTCTCTGGGGAAAGTTTCCAGAACTTCTCAATTCTAGCTGAAAAACTACGAGGTGACTATGATTTTGGTCACACCCTTGATGGCAAACTCCTCCCACACGGTGGACCAGTTGACAAGCCAACACTCCGGCTACTTAAGCCATTTGATGAGCTGTTTGCAGACTTCCAGGTATTATATACTATTGTTTTTTAGGATTGATCCACATGATTATCCTTTTTTGGTTTGTTTTTGTTGCTAACCGTTGCAATATCGTGACATCGTTGCAGGACTTCCATGTTGATCAATTGGAGAAATTCATTGAAGAAGCTAGTATCCCTACTGTGACTATTTATGACAAAAATGAAGAAAATATTCGTTTTGTTAAAAAGTTGATCTACAGTCCCGACACTAAGGTACTTGGATTACTAAACTCTATTATCTTGGAAATGCTCCCTTATGTGAGCCTGTATTTGTAAATGTAACTTCTTAGATGTATTGCTCATATATCTCTATTGTTTTGATCTGTATGTTTTCTAGCTCAGCCCTGTCAATTTAATATATGTTTTCTTCATAGCTTAGTCCTGTCAGTTTAATATATGTTTTCCTTGCTCTTTCTTTTGAATTTTAGAGCTTTACCTGCATACAAGATGCTCAATCGCTCAAAAGCTTTATGGAGCTCTATGATGATTGGTCACCCTTGAAAACTGTTGAAATTTTAATTTTAATGAGATATATTTTTATCTGTAGGCTCTGTTGTTTGTAAACTTCAGCCGTGACTTTGATGCTTTCAAATCAAAATACCATGAGGTTGCATCAGGTTATGAGAGAAAGGAAATAAGATTTCTTTTGGGAGATACAGAGGCCGCTGCTGGTGTCCTTACGGTTGTTCATTCTTTTTCTAATTTTTCTACTAAAAACTAATCTAGCTAGTATGCTACTTATCAGCTGTTGTGATTTGCTAAAGATTATTATTTGATCTGGATTGTAGCACTTTGGACTGAAAGCGGATCAAGCACCTGTAATCTTAATACAGTCCACTGATGGAAAAAATTATTTGAAGCCAAATGTGAAACCCGATGATATTGCATCTTGGGTTAAGGACTACAAGGTAAATGCTCTCGTGATTCTATTGCTTGGTGCTCGAGCTTAATATAATATAAAATATAAGTGTATAGTATAGTCTAACTATCAGTTTAGACTTTTAGTTGACTTTGCTTATACAATCAGCTTCCATGTCTGTAGATATATTTTTCTTGAAATATGGTTGCAGGAGGGGAAATTGAAGCCATATATAAAATCCGAGCCTATTCCCGAAGTCAACAATGAACCAGTTAAGGTGGTTGTTGCTGATAACCTGGAAGATTTCGTGTTTAACTCGGGGAAGAATGGTGTGTATCTAGACTACTAGTTCAGTTCGAGGATATGCTTTGTTGCCTTTAGTAAGGATCAGAAAAGACTTATATGTTTTGTTCTGTTACAGTTCTGATAGAATTCTATGCACCCTGGTGTGGCCACTGTAAGAAACTGGCTCCAATCTTGGATGAAGTTGCAGTTTCATTCGAGAACGACCCCGATGTCACGATTGCAAAAATGGTAAGAAAATTGTGTTGTTGCATCTAAGTGATTGTTACAGAATGTGGAAGCTAAATTTGTTATTTCCATTTGTCATATTCCTAGGATGCAACTGCAAATGATATCACGAGTAATAGATTTGAAGTTGAAGGGTTCCCAACCCTATACTTCGTATCTGCAAGTGGTAACTTGGTCAAATATGAAGGGGATAGATCAAAAGAGGACTTTATTGACTTTATCCAGGAAAATAGGGATATACGTAGCAATACAGACTCTGCTGCATCAAAAGAACCAGCCAAGGATGAGCTCTGATCTGAGGAGGAGGTAATTAGGTGTTTCTCTTAAAGCATGGTTTTATAAATGTTTTATTTTGGTATTTAATTTCATCGTTGTAAATTCATTCCTACCTTAAATCGATTCGACAAAGTTTTGTTTTAATTTCTTTAAAGTAAATAACAACTAAGCTATTATTTGGATCATCTGGTGAGGAAATTAATTCACTTTTTATTCTAATTTTTATGTGCAGGTTTGAGTCTTTAGTTTTTACAATAGCATGGGACTGATGGGAGGATTCGTTCAAGTTATTTTTTGTTTTTCATTTGTAATAGTTTGGAGTTAAAAACAACATATTGTGTAATTTACTATAAGGTTTTTGGAGGATTTGCAATCTTAGCACCATGTATAACTCAAATATTATAACTCCAACAATATCATAAATCATAAGACGCAATTTATTTAAATTAATATATGAGATTTTTTTTAAAAAAAAAAATGTTATTGACTACATTGCATTGTAGTATCTGTTCAAAGAATTGCAAAACATTTAATGCAACATTAAATGCAATTCTTCTCTTGTAAGTAATTTTCCTTGTTTAAAATTTTAGTCCTCCTTTTTTCTTTAGGAGAAACCTTTAACCAAAGCAATTCCCTTAAAGAAAACATTTACCCAAATTTTTTCCTTTTGCTCAAACTATGCCTAACCAATTCCCTTTCTCAAACCTATGCCTAAACAATTCTCTTACTCAAACCTCTACCCAAGCATTTCACTCCTACATTTAACTTTATTATTTACACCCCAAAACCAATCCCATCGTTCTCTCTCAAACTTGCATACTTTCCGGGTCCTCTGCAGAGTTGGGAGTTGGTTTCCCGTTTAGTCTGAGGCCAATGACCATTCTAATTTCTAACATATGAACTTTATAATTGAATATAATTTCAAAGTTGTTAATTAATTTTGAGAATGCCTCATCTTTTTAATATTATTTTGCAGCAACACAAGTCTAATTCTTTTTGTTTGACCACAAATTTTTTCAATTCGTCGACACTCAATTATTATTGCGTGAATCATACTATCAAATAATGTACTTTTAGTATATTAAAAGTGTATTATATCAAGAAAAGTATATTATTTTGTATAATGTACATTCAATACATGAATAATGTACTTTAAAAAAAAAAAAAACATGAATGATGGGGTGAGGACCCCGGCCCAAGAAGAAGGGCCCAAGAGAGAAGGAGCCCAAGACAGGAGATAAGGGTTAGAAAAGAAGAAGCCCGATGGTGGCTTGGGCCGAGTCCAGGAGTCGGGCCAGGCCCAAGTGCGAAAGGAGACTCGGCCCAGGAGCCAGTAAGAGGCGTTCAAGTCGGTCTAAGAGCCGTTGAGGGAGCACTCAATGCGGCATTCAAGAGGACTCGATCAAACGGGCCGTTGGAGGGCCAAAGAGCCGTTGGCCGACTCAGTAACGGCGACCGAACGGTCTTATAGTGTAATTAGCCTTGAAGGCGATGTTTAATGTGCTTCAATTCGGCTGGGGAGGAGCCTACTATATAAAGGCCCCTCCACACTTGTAACGGGGGGGGGGGGGGGGGGGGGGTCGAGGCCTAGAGAATAAGAGACACACTTCCTAGTTATTCGACTACTCTCCCACGATCACTTTTGCGAAAGGTGAATCCACCAGCTAAAGGTTGTGTTGGACCTCATTGGGCCCGAAAACCCAAAAACCATAAATGAATAATGTACTTTTAGTATATTAAAAATATACCTATTTTTATAGTACATAAAACACTATGTGGACCATGGTCCACACAATAATTTGCCATCGACACTAGTCTAATTTGTAGGGCAAATTATTATATTGACCTGGGCCCACAATATGGGCAAATTATTGTATGGACCATGGTCTACACAATGTTATGTGGACCATAACAAAAAATACATTTTTAATATACTAAATATATATTATTTTTGTATTGAATGTACATTATATTTGTACTGAATGTACATTATTTTACAGTATACAAAATATGGTCCATACAACTTGTGTGGACTATGGTCCATACAACTTGTGTGGACCATGGTCCACACAATAATGATTGCACAATATATACATTGTGAACTTTTGGTATATCAAATTGTAAACATTCCGTTTTGTAAATTGTGAATATTCAATATATAAATTGTGTATTTTAACTCAAGATGGACCCGGGTCCATGGCATAACTATTGAATTTGTAGAGAAGGTTATTATTGCATTAAGGCCCAATTTTATTGGGCCAAATCTGAAAACTTTCTAACCATCTTCAACGGAACTTGGATTAAACATCAACGGCCTGCTAAGGCCCAGAGAATTAGGGTTTTCGTAGAGTGGCCATTTACAAAACCCCCTCGTCTATCTATCATTAACGACGACCTAGCTTAGCTGCACAGAGAGAGAGAGAGAGAGGGAGGGAGAGAGGATCTCAGGAAGACGGCTCCGTCGTTGCGAAAATGGTGACCTACAGAGTAAGTACTATCTATTCTCTATCTACTTTCAATTCGACCGAAGAAGATTCATACACGTATGTCTGAGCAACAATAATTTGAGGGGTTGTGTTTGCCGGTGCAGTTCCATCAGTACCAGGTTGTCGGAAGAGCGCTCCCGTCGGAGACCGATGAGCACCCCAAGATCTACCGCATGAAGCTCTGGGCAACCAATGAGGTCCGTGCCAAGTCCAAGTTCTGGTAATGCTCTCTTCTTCTATCGGTTTAGACACATATATCTGTACGCGGTATAGCAGTATTCGAATGGTTTTATATCGTCTGTTTTTTTGGTGTGAAAAGGTATTTTTTGAGGAAGCTGAAGAAAGTTAAGAAAAGCAATGGCCAGGTCCTCGCTATCAATGAGGTATTTGAATTTCTGAGCTGATCAATTTATTAAATGGTTTTGGTTTAATTGATTATATATGCTTAAAGTTGCTACCTTTGTTATTTGTAGATCATGTATGAACTAAGTCTCATACATCTGATCTAAGTAGTTGTTCTTGCAATAGTGTGGTTTAGTATCTCATTAATAAGCAAAAATGTCCCATGGCTTCAATAATTGTTGGCTATTATCATTTCTATGTGTTTCCTTTATAAATGACTAGGAATTATAGGATCATTCTCTGGATATATGCTTTACTAGTTGCTCCTATTATTCAATTAGACTTTCATTTTGTTTACTACATTTTTGTTATTGTTCTTTGTTCATTGTCATGGACTCATGGAGGAAGATTTTAATTTGGCCTTTTCTTTATGGAGTAAATTCATAACAATGTCGAATGCTAAATGGTTTGACTGTTGATGAGTTCCCCAGACTCCCCCCTTGTGCAAGTGTTTCTATTATGGTAGTCTAATTTCTAGTTTCATACTTTATATCCAATTCAGTTGCATGAATGAAGTTCTTAAAACAGCCTTTTTTCTGAATGCATATATGTCTCATGCATTAGATGCATTCAACTATTCAAGTATCCCGTGCTTTCTTTCAATGTATCTAATTTTTAAGAATTAGTATTTCAATATCCAGTCAAATTATTGTTATTGAAATTGAAATGTTTTTGGTTTGGGTATCTCTAGATATTTGAGAAGTGCCCTACCAAGGTTAAGAATTACGGGATATGGTTGAGGTACCAGAGCAGAACCGGGTATCACAATATGTACAAGGAGTTCCGTGACACAACCTTGAATGGCGCTGTTGAACAGATGTACACTGAGATGGCTTCTCGTCACAGGGTGCGCCACCACTGCATCCAAATCATCAAGACAGCCACCATCCCAGCAAAACTCTGCAAGAGGGAGAGCACCAAGCAATTCCACAACTCCAAGATCAAGTTCCCGTTGGTGTTCAAGAAGGTGAGGCCACCATCCAGGAAGCTCAAGACCACATACAAGGCATCTAGGCCCAACATCTTTGTGTAACTTGTTTGGTCTAATACTGTGTCTCATTACCAGTTTCCTTGTTCTGCAATTTTAGACCTGTTTAAGTGAAAGATTGTTATCTGGAGAAGAAAAAGGGAGATTAACTTCTATCATTATTTTGATCAAATTTTCTAGTTTTACTATGAAGGTACCTATATTTAGCTACTTTCTACATGTGTTTGATAATCACAACTATGAATTGCTTATGCTTCATATTTTGAGAATTATATTTTCTTGAGTTCTAAAATGAGTCTTATTTATTATTGTCATATATGCTTGCGAGCTTGTCTTGCACTCTTGTCATACAGCAAGTATCATTTATCAGCTGATTGGTTTTTCACAATGCAACAGGTTATCCCTGAGAATTGCTGTAGAAATTTGAGTGCCATAATTGAGGTTTCAATTATTAGGTACTAAAACATTGAGAATTTTCTGAAATTTTAATTTTATTTGATAACTGAATTTATGGTACTCCACATCATCCATGAGTTTTTCTATATTCCTCTCTTTTATCATCATGATAGGAAAATGAGCTTTGTATCCAAAGTTGAAATTGAGAAACACAAAAGTCTGGGACTATAGGTCACCAAAGTCTGGACAACTTTGGGTATTAAAATTATAAGAATTACATGAATCTTGGTCAGCATTGTTATTCAATTCGATCAAGCATCAGGCTCCATCATATCACTATTCAAGCATTAAGCAAGAATGGACACTAAAATTCTTCTGTGCAGCTAATGTTTTTTTTTTTTTTTTTGCATACTACTATACGTTGATATCTGCATTCCGCACTAGCTTAACCAAAGTCTGGATTGGGCATTCAGTGGCTGCCTATTTCTCTCCTCCGTCGTCTTGTCATCTCCATTCTTCAATTAAGCTAAGATTCTTCTCTCTCTAACTTTCTCTTTCCTTCTGCTGAAGCTTTTTCTGTCTCTCTGATCCCACCCTGCCTGCCTATTTTGCATTGCGCAATAGACCCACCACAGACAACACGCCAACAGCATCGCGATAATTATCATGTGATCGAGTCGAGTTTTGTCGGGCAGAGATCTTTCCGGCCGCCCACTGCAAACTTAGCTTAGCTCGTTCCAAAAACTACTTAGAGAACTAAACTAGAGAGTGTTTGGCTTCTTGGAGGCAGGATCCCGTGAGATGATATCATGTAGTATCTATTTTATATTTTCTTTATTTGTTGTAAATTAAAGAGTCAATACCTCACCACCGTGATTCGATCTTGTAACCTTCTTTCAAGGGAAGTCACAGGGAAGCACATAGATATTATCTGAACATAAGGTGTTTGGCTTAGAACTTTCATTATACCATGTGCATACCCTTGGGTTGTTGGTGCCGATATATAACAACCATTTTCAAACCATAAATAATCAACTGGTCATAGAGGTGAAAGTTGAAAAGAATGGTCAGAGATAGAGTCTCACCAGCCACAATGTGGGAACAACCTCTCAAAGTGAGGGTGCTCTTTGTGCGCAGTAAGCAAATGTGTAGTTCATGTTCAATTGAGTTACCATGATTTACATCCTCCCAGATGTTTTGTTGAGTCGGGATGTGGGGCCTTTAGGTTGGGGTTCAACCTTTTGGAAAGAATGCTTTAAAAACACACACAACTAAGTATACACACCCAAAGAATATAATTGCCATAACAATACCATCCCTCATTATGTAAGTATCCAATGCAAATTCCAAATTGAGAGAAATACAATCAAATGCAATATGTATATAACAAACTTTTTAAAATGCGATTGCTGCATTTTAACTTGCACCAGTGAGTTATATTTTGTGTCTCAAATATTGTACTTTAAATATAAAGTACAATAATTTAACAAACCACAAAGTATAACCTGATAATTTAGGTCGAGATTTTTAAAATCTCCCAACATATATATGCATGACACCATGATCGAGTTGCAAGTTATTGTGAATCATCACAATTGATCACATTGTGTTGGTACAAAAGAGAGAGTCTCCTTGGTAAGATCATGAACCACCAGCATATTCTGCTGTTGCACGTTGCCAAATATGGACATTGAACCGGAGCTTCCCATGGCCAAGCACGCCATCCCGGAGCTCTTGTCGGCGATTATGTAGTTCTCGCCGGGGAGGTCTAGATCCGCGTCTTCGCCGTCGAAGTGGAAGATCATTTTCGGGACGGTGATGTCATCGGCGTCGGCCGGGAGCGTGAAGCACAGCTCCAGCCCCGTTGATCCGGAAGTGTCCGCCGGGAGATCCATTTGCTTAACGAACTCCTTCTTCACCGCCTCGAATGCTTTCCCCTCCAGGTACGTGATGGTGGTGCCGGAGTCGATTATCATCCCGCCGCTCCCGTCGGAGGCGAGGTTGAAGGAAGACTCCGGGATCGGGAGGCGCGTGCCGCCGACGGTGATTCCTTTGAGGGTGATGTAGTAGAAGGAGGGCTGTAACGGGTTTTTCGCCAAAGCGGTTGTAACAACCTTTCCGGATTTCCCGGGTTTGATTCCCGCGAGAGATCCCATTAGGAGCGTGCTCTTTGCGCTGGTGTCGTCGATGCCGTCGCCGCCGCCGATGGCGGTTAAGCAATAGGAGAATTTTGGCTCGGTGAGCTGAGAGACCAGCGATAATGGTCCCCGGCCGAGGCCGACGAGGCCGGCGCCTTGACTGAATCCGGTCCCTTCATTATCGTCGCCGCAACCGAACGCGACGTTTGGGATTGAAACTTTATCGTCGAACGTGAACGTTTCCGACCCCATAGTTCCCTGAGTCGTGGAATAATCGCCGTAGGCGTACGTGTACTCGCAGCCTTCGTCGCACGACGACATCGGCAGCGCCGCGCAGAGCTTGTGGCCGCAGGGGAGTTTGGAGAAGGAAGACGATTTCTTCGGGTCGAAAATCGGCGATTTCTGTGTGAAACACTGCCGGCAAGGCTTACACTGCGTCCAAACCAAGTCGCTTCCGGTGTCCAGAATAGCCTCGAACGGCGACGGCGGAGTCCCGATGGACAGCTCCATTAAAAACTCGCCGGAGCCGGAGTGTATCTGGGACTTCACGTCGGCGTCCTCCGCCAACGGCCCCACCGCCGCCAACACACTCAGCCTGTTGAGCCTGTGCCTCCCGCGCTTCATGGCACGCTGCAAACGCTCGAGTTTCGTGAAGTTCCCGCCGGAGTCCACGTGCCGGAGACTCACCTGAAACCCTCTACTCCGTTTGATCCCATTATTCCTGGACGTGGAATTCACCGGCAACACTAACAAGATCGAAACGGAAACAATGACGATCAAGAACTTTAACGGAAATGAAAACCCCATTATTTTTTTTTCCTTTATCCCAATCCTCTAACACAACTCAATCGTCACCAAATTATATCAGACTCAGCAACTTTCGTCTCTATATATAGCGTTTAGGGGAAGAAATGGTCTGAAGAAAGACAAAACTTCTCTGAAAAAAAGATGGATCTGATCGGATCGAACGGAATAAATGGAAGGCGAACGACTTAGAAGAATGAGATGAAATAGGAATATATAAAGAGGAGAGAAAATGGTATATACTATATAGTATATAGTACGTAGCTAATTAGGCATTTCAATTATCAAGTTCATCTAAACGTCAAAGGAAGGTGATATGTCATCTTTGTGAGTCATATGGAAGGTTGTTGGAGAAAACAAGGGCTCATCTTCAAAACTATTAGTAGAATTTAATTTCGAATAATGTTATTTTTCCACTTTTACCACCTACGCAATTGTATGTGTTCTCCTATGGGAGCTGTTTATTGATTTTTTTGGATTGAGTCGGTAAGTTATGGACAATCTAGAATGATTTAAATCATTGTGGTCCTTTGCTGATTAGGGTCGTCACATGGTGAGCTTCACCCAAAGTGCACTTTACTCCGAGTTTTCTTACCATTTTGATCAAACTTTAAACATTTTATTCTCAATAGTGTTTCCAAATAAATTAAAGAAAATATTATTGTGTCAAATAGTTTATATATATCAAATGGTAAGGTGTCATCAGTTACAAATGTCGTAGTCTTTCATGCACGTCCATGGATTATTTGCAAACTACTAAATTTATGTAGTTATCAAATAAAATCACATAAAAATATACAAAATTTGACACCAAAATTAAAATTTAAATCAAGCAATGTTACGTTATCTAAGTTAAACCATTAAAAATATTCCATTTGCTTCAACAAGATGGTTGAGGAATCTCAACTATAGTCTAGACCCAATCACACGAAAAACGTAAGACTATCAACATTGTATTTACCTTGGATTTGTCCTTGTGTCCTTGGATTATGTTATTATAATGGGTAATAACCAAAAAAAAAAACAAAAAACAAAAAACAAAAAACAAAAAAGAGAAATAAATTAGATACATAATAGAAGTTAAGATGAGAAGAGGTTGGTGGTCTAACTCATCTACTAATGATGATGGAAGATTGGAAGGATGAAAAAGAACAAAGACATGTTTGGTTTGTGATCCACGCAATCCTTGAATTGATGTACATAGAGTGTGTTTGATGGTATATACTAGGATTATTTGAGGTTTGGTGTGAATTGTGATAATGAAACATTAGTGCATAAACATTATTATGTTAGTTGTTCTTAGTCTTCAAGGCTAGTTAGAATTCTTTTGTTTAATAATTTATTGACTAATCTCGACAATGTTTATAATAAATAAGTCCATATTCGCTATTTGAAGGTTCGTTCTTTGTGACCTTATCAGACAAAAGACTACAATGAGATAAATCACCCTAGATTGTCCATAGTTGACCAGTTCAAAATAAGAAAACCTCAAACTTAGAATTTTGTAATTATCAAACTAATTATCTGACCAAGTAGGCTAGGGTTGTCCCCCACAAATATATTGAACTATCATTACATGAATTGGTATGAAAAGGAAATAGATATATAACTTTGAAAAAAAACCATTTTTCTCTTAAATTTCAACTACTTTATATAGATAAAATGTCGATCTTATTACAATGCTTTATACTGAAGTTTGTCATTTACTAAACTTTGACAATTTTATATATATCACATTATGTCAACATTATTAATGATATTTTGTGCCTTAAAAAGTTTAGGAATATAATATATAGCCATATAGGCAGTGTTAGTTTATGGAGAAGCTAGCATAACATATGTCTCTCCGAGGAGGGTAACCTAAAAACATCAAACCCATTTCCAGAAGAGTTGATTTCTTGGTTCCACCCACGCAAGCAAATGTAATATACCAAACGTACGACCTCCAAAAAGCATGTCTGGTTTTTCCATATTTCCTCGAAATGAAATGATTAATAATTTTAATTTTAATTTTAATTTTTTTTTAAAAAATAAAAATTCTCATACTTTGCTTTGTCTAAGATTGCAAAGCTGACAATAGGCCAATAGCCATCCTCTTTACTCAATCACTCCCATTAGGCCATTATATTCATTCCGATGAAAGAAAGTTGCCTGCGACTTGTACACATGCATATGATATGACACCTTTCCTTTTACTATTTGGGAACAATTATTGCTAGCTTCCCAAGACTTGAAGATATATATAGATATAGCACTTTCACAATCATAAACAAAATAATATGGTGGATGAATTTAAATTGTTTTGAAATTTTTATAATATTACGCATTTTATAAAGTTATACTTTGTGTTTTGCAAGTTGTACACATATGAAAGCATGTCTGATGCAAAATGAACATCCTAATGTTATTAATTAATACGGTTAGATTAATTGTTATTAGTATTTTCAGTTGGACAAAGAGATACCCAAAATTTGATCAATCTAGCTTAAAATAGGCCGGTTATGATGCTAAATGAAGAAAACAGTGAGTAGACATATAGATATAGCACGTTCATGTTTATTGCAAGATAAATTAAAGATGTCTAAATTAAACTTATTGGAAATCAAACAGAATCTGTTTAGGTGGCTGCAATTCAATACCAAATATATTGGATTGCACAATCAAGTTTTAACTTCCCTTTAATCATAAGTGATCCACCCTCACCACAGGTTTGTATGTATCACTATTTTGATGATATTCTCATTATTCATATATAATTATACCAAAAAAAAAAAGTTTCTTTGAAATAATAATATTAATAAGGGATGTCCAACTCAACAACAAAATTATGAGTTTATGTCTTTTGTTTACCCACGATAAAAGGTAAACTGAGTCAAATTACACTTTATTTATATGTATTTGATTTATATTTTTAATTTAATAGTACGTCTAATTGCATTTTCAAAACAACTTGATGATGTATTTGATCCATATTCCTTAATTTAATGACTAATTATTGTTACCAATAAATAAAAGTATGATTGAATTAGACCAAGATTGATAAAATAATCCGTATATTATATATATTATATAAAAGTCTCCTATATTTTGTAAGAATCGTGCTAAACATCCCTATATAAGTCACTCTCTATTAATCACTACGTAAATTTTTTATTAACTTATGGTGTGGTCCAGGCCAGTAACAAAAAATAAAAATAAAAAATCATTGGGTGAGTAATAAGAAGTGATCATTATATGGAAAATACTATTTATACTCTCAATTTTTACTTCCTCTCACAAATCTTGGATGTAGACAACTTTTTCTGGATCCACAAGATGAAAATGGCATATACATGCTTGTCACATCAAGAAGTATAATTGATGGAGTAGAATTTGGGAGTCCTGTAGAACTTTTTGTTTTTGTTTTTGTTTTTATTTTTTGTTTTTTGTTTTTTTTTTTTTTGTCAAGCCATGAGGTGTTCTCACCAGGCCCTAACTGTAGGAGACACCTTTAAAACTGCACCATACTCAGACTAATCTACATTTATATCGAATCAGTCTAATTAAGGGACAAAGTGCTGACCATATTGATTTTTCTATACGAGAGAGAGTTCGAAGTTTCGGAATTCTCTAATATAATTATATATAAGGCTGAAAAGTATTACCCATTTTGTAAGTCCTATACATAGAGGCAGAGCCGCAGAGGGGACTTAATTTGACTCTTAACCATATTTTGACTTGGACTGAATTTTATCATTTTCAAGCAAACATCAACTGTTTAATTCATGCCATACATAGTTTCACAGTGTGAATTTAATAAAATTTTAAGAGCCCATCCTTTTCACACTCATCTTGACTGGAAACCGAAGATTCCAAATTAAGGGACCTAATAGGGCCCAAATTCAACCTTAAGAATCCTAATTGTTGGAATATACAGTAATATTTAGAGTGATTCGATGATACAAATATTAATAATTATTTTATTGTATAATTACCATTCCAAATAGTTATTCATAGGATCAAGTTCCGATAGTGTAGGCATTGATTCTCTGGACTGAAAAAATTAAGAAAGTATAAAACATGTACTACATTGTAAAAAAATGATAAGAAAATTAACCCAATGGCCCAAATGAGCTAAATAAATTTGATAAGAAAATTAACACAATGGCCCGAATGAGCTGAAACTAAGTGAAGATGTTCCTATTGTCTTGACCATTGATGATATAATGTAGGCATGAAGAGATAATGCAGGGATGATAGTTTGATTAGTGGAATGATTTATGGTCCTTGCAGGATAGTCACCATGTAATTAACCACAATAAATGATTTGATTTTTTTTTTTTTTTGCCAATATTTAGCACATTAAAGTCCCCTAGGTAATAGAATAGAGATAAAAAAAAAAGTCCAAGAAAATAACATTTTTCAAGTCCAACCTTGAACCTTGCATCATTGTGTAAGCAAATTAAGGCATGAAAGAATGTTCCAACTTCCAACTAGGAATCAAATGTGAGACCTCTGCATCCCAGAGACTTATAAACCAACCACAAAGAATATAATGTTTTGTATTCACTGATCTTATATAGCTTGTAATAAATGTAATCATAGGAAAGCAACACAAATAATGATTTAGGCCCTGTTTGGTAAAAAAATTGGCCTATAGACCAATTTTGGCTTATTTGACCACTATTAATTGTTTGATTTAGTTAAAATATCAATATAACTGTTTGGTTAATTAGCTATTTGCAACTCCAAAAGACTAAAATTGAAAAAGCTACCCCAAACAACTTTTTCAATTAGCTTTTTGAGAAAAGAAATTATACCAAACAGCTAACAACTAACTTACCAAACACTTTTCTACAATCAGCTAATATTATCAACTATTTATATCCTTTAATTAACACAATCAGCTAACAACTAACAGCTATCAGCTAACAGCCATTTTACCAAACAGGGCCTTAATCATTTCAAGCACCTACACAAAAGTGTATATGAAGTTCCAATTCCTTAACAAGATCCACTATACATCAGTGGATGGATGAGATATGAGGCCCAACCTTCAAAGTAGGAACACTAGTGGACAACATTCCATGATCAAAATTTAAAAAAAAAAAAAAATCGCGTAAACCCAGTCAAGAAGACAAGAGATTCACACTTCGAATTCTTGTCCCCTTGGTTTGAGCCGCTATGAATAATCTAGGCTGGTTTACTTCTTTGTGGTCTTTTCCCTCGCCATCCAAAAAAGAAAAAGATTTGATAAAGGCTGGGGACTCATTATCACGCAACAAACACGTTTTCACAGACTGCAGTCTCACACTGCCAACACCGAAA